GTGAAGTGGGAACCATGTCATCTGTAAGAGGCTGCTGAGTTGCAATCAGGCCACACTCGCAGACTACCACCCTGCCCAGCTGTGTCCCTCTCCACAGACACCTGCTGTTTTCACCAAACACAGAGGCGTTGGCTGCACTCTGGGGCCTGCACCCTGTTGATGCTGCCAGTGCTGCAAAGTCTGTATTTTGTCCTTCAACACAGCCAGGCAGGTGGTCACCACACAGGAGGTTGCTGGAATGAGGGTAGAGGACAACTGGACAGCAGGAGGTGTCATGGGTGACAGCACCCAGTTCCTTAGTTTCTTGATGCACCCTCATCTTGCAGAGGATGGAGAATGACCAGAGAATCAGCGAGTAAAGAGGTTCTGGGGAGTTGGCGGGGCTTTGGCCAGCGGGGGCTGGGGAGAGCACCTCCTCTTCGTCTGCCCCTCTCAGGAGATTTACAGTTCCAGCTCTCCCTCTTAGATCTGTGATCCCTTGTGAGTTCATTTTCGTACAAGGCACGATGAAAAATGATGGAGAAATATTCAAAGTTTTAAATAATTGAACTGCAGTAAGGGACACATTGCTGTTAACCCCTCTCAAAACCGCCTCTTCCGTCTGAACACACTCTCCCCATCATTTTGGCCCCGATCTGCAGCAGTTCTGGAGTCCTCTCTTGCGGGTTTTCAGCTGAGCCGTCCTGGCTGCCTCAGTGTCCTGAGTCCATTCAAAATGTTTCCTTTTCGTGGTCTTTGAGACTTTGGGGAGGAGCGAGGAGTCCCAGCGTGCCTGATCTCATGAGGAAGGTGGACCAGACACAGCCTGCCTTTCTGTCGGGTGGCGCCGGACAGCAGCATTCATTGTACGGCTAGTCACATTTCAAAGACACTCGAGAAAGCAGACCTCCTCAGCCGCTTCCGAAAGAGGGCACAACATGGGCTGAATGTGTCTCAGGAGAGGCGGAAGATTTTGAGGGGTTAACGGCAGTATCTCTTCAAACTTTTTTTGCAATTTGAACATTCTCCGAGCATTTGGATCGCTCCTTCCACATGGTATGAAGTTGGGTCTAGACTCATTGTTTTGCCTATAAGTTGTCCCAGCACCATTTGTAACTAAATTCTCTTAAGTCAACTATGTCTCTGTCTCTGTCTTCCCTCCTCTTCCTCCTCCCTTCCCTTTCCTGTCCAGTACCAAGTTACATCCCAACCCCAAATATATATAAATTTATATATAAATTTTCCTTTTTATTGGTACTGGGGATCAAATTCATGACTGCCTGCTTGCACGGCAGGTGCCTATGCCACTGAGCTAAATCCCCAGCCCCCAAATTTTAAATTAATATATAAAAAGTGATATATAAATTTTAAATTTTATAAATAAATAAATTTATATAAATAAATATATTATATATTATATATTATATAAATTTATATCAATAATTTATAATATTATATAAATAAATTTATATATATTTAAATTTTGAGACAGGCTCTTGCTAAATTGTCCTAACTGGGCTTCAATTTGTGATCTTCCTGCCTCAGCCTCCCGCAGTGCTGGTGTTGCGGGTGTGCACCACCAAGCCTGGCTGAATCTATCTTTTGTTTATGTCCTTTCCCACCCCCAGGCAACTGTTCCCACCCTGAGCCCCTCTGCTGCCCAGGAGTAAATTATGAATGCTTGAGGAAAACCTGCTTCTGTGATGACCACTGCTTCAAGTTTTTGGACTGCTGCCCGGACTACATCACCACCTGCAGTCCTGGTGATTCCCAAGGGGCTGTGGGTGGTGGAGGCCCCTGCCCAGACCTCAGGTGCTAGCCACGATGGGGGCAGGCGGTGCCTGCAGCCCTGACCATCCCAAGGCCCCACAGTGTCCACCGCATGTCAGCAGTGTATACAGATCCTCCTAGGGTGTCCCCAGGCTCCCTGCCACCTCTGCCGCCCTCGAGTGCTTTTCCAGGCCCTGCAGGGAGAGGCGAGCTGCTCGTGAAAGGGATCAGGATGGAAGATGAGGTGTTGGGTCCCACAGAACTGCTCAGCTTGCCTCGAAAGGTGTCTGCCTTCTTACCTGTCTTATACAGACTTTTGTCTGGGTTTGTTGTTGTTTGTCTTATTTTATTTTGAGACAGGGTCTCCCTACGCAATACGGGCTGGCCTTGCACTCACTTGTATAGTCCAGACTGGCTTGCACTCATGGAGATCCTCTTGCCTCAGCCTCCTGCATGCTGGGAATACAGGGGTGCACTACCATGCCCGGCTCTGCCATCTGTGTGTTTTTGTTTTTGAGATAGGGTTTCACTATTTAGTTCAGACTGGCCTTGAACTCATTGTGCAGCCCAGGCTGGTCTTGAACTTTTGTGATCCTGCTGCCTCAGCCTCCAAAATTAGGCAGACTTTTGAGCAAGACAGGGGAGCACAGAGAGCAGGACCATAGCAGCAAGGTGGGAGGAGGATGAGGACAGACGCTGTCCCCTGTCTCTCTCAGCTCGTCTCACTGTCAAGATGGTGCTGCACGTGGTGCTGAGGACTTGGAGTCTTCCTGGCCAGGGCAGGAGCAACCCAGACTGGGTGCAGAGCACGGTGAGTGCCTCAGAAGTGCCCACAGCAGGTGCTGCCCGCCCCAGGCAGTGATGACCCAAGGACAAAGGATCCCTGAGCTTGGCTGAGTTCCCCTGCTATGATGGCTTTCAGGGTAGAGCTGGCGTTTCTGCCCATGGACGTGAAATGTGAATTTCATTTCATTTTTAATATATCTTGAAACATTATTCTTTTCACACACCCCCTCCCTCCACACCTCTTAAAAATGTAGAAAACAAGACAGGCATGGTGGTGCACACAGGCAATCTCAGCGTTTGAAAGGCTGAGGCAGGAGGATTGCTGCAAGTTTGAGGCCAGCATGGGCTACGTAGTGAGTTCAAGGCCAGTCAAAAAAAAATGTAGAACACATTCTTAACTTTCAAACTATATGAAAACAGGCAGTGGTTTGCTGACCTCTCCTACTCCATGCCCTCCATTCCTTCGGGGTTCTGGCTGCAATCCTAATCTGTGCGGAGCACTCAGCCAGCACTGGGGCCAGGCCTGGGCACATGGATCCTGGTCCCAGTCAGGGCAGAAGGAGAAGCAGCACGGGGAGGTGGGGAGGGGGGTGGGGCCCAGGGGCAGTGGACCTAGCTGCAACCGATCTTACCACTTACCCTCCGGGTCCTTTGGGACCCCTTTAGCCTTCCTCTTGCTTTTTGTTTTATGTTTTTTGAGTCAGGGCTCTCACCATGTGCTTCAGGCTGGCCTTGAACTTGCTATGTAGCCCAGGCTGGCTTCGAACTTGCAGGGATCCTCCTGCATCGGCCTCCCAAGGGCTGTTTCCTCTTCTGATTGCTGAGCTGGCCAGAAGGGCGGTGATTAATTGGAAGTAAGTGTGGAAAGGTATGGCCTGTGCTTGTCCCAAGGGAGGGACCAGGGCTCTGCTTGGTGCTCTCTTAGGTCCAGCAGCTTCTCCAAAGCAGCCTCCTGGGCACACAGTTCTCCTTCTCCGTGAAGGGAGTCAGGAAGAGAGCCTGAGTCCTCCTGGAGCACGGATCACCTGTCCCCACCACAGCCCGTGGGACCCATGCTGCTGGGTCTGCAGTGTCAGCCTTTAGCTCCCGGTGGTTTCTCAGATCCCCTAACCACGGGACAACTGGACCTGCAGTTGCATGAAGACACTGAAATGTGTACGGGCACAGCATACAAATCTGGAACATTCCATTGGCTCCTGGTGGTATTTTGTTGTTGTTACTGTTTGACACAAGGTCTCACTATGTAGCCCAGGCTGACCTCAGACTTACATAGATCCCCCTGCCTCAGCCTCTAGAGTGCTGGGATCACAAGTATGTGCTACCACGCCCCGCCTGACTCATGGTGTGATTCACTGGGCTGTGGTGGCTACAGGGTCATATCAAACATTTCTTGAAGGTGAAAAATGAGATCTCAGCCCTGTGTCCTCTCCCTTCATGTGTTCCCTCGGTCCCAGGTGGCGGCCTGCAAGTCTGAGGCAGCCTGGTCTGCGTATTTGCATCTCTTTGTGGGGTTGAAAGCAGAGGCAGAGGCCCCCACACCTGGATGTCTCTTGGGAGCAGGATGGCAGACTTGGGGAGGCAATGCTAGGGTACGTGTGTCCTTCTGAGCATAGACTTCTTCCTCTAGTTCCCCAGAAAAGTCCCCGCCCATGCCTTCTCCCTCAGTGCTCTCCCGCATGACACTGTCACTTTTGGCCCCTCCTGTTCCCATGCTGAACGCCTAGGCACGGCTCCTTCCTGCTGTGCTGGCCCCTGACTCTTCTCTAACTGCTCTCTGCCCAGGTCAGAGGCCCTGAACCTCAGCCTGGTGCTGCCAGCTCCTTGCTCCAAAGCTTCCTCTTTGTCCCTCAGCCCCGGGACAGAGGCCAGCTGCCTGCTTATGGCAGCCGAAGCATCCACGCTGGGGCTCACAGCCTGCTACAGATCCTTTCCCCCTTCCTGGACAGAGCCAAGGGGACCGATCTGGCTTGGGTTCTGCTTGAGCCCCCCAGGCTGCTGATGATCTGACCTCTAGTCTCCAGGGGGTGGCGCTGGCCGAGATATCTGAGCTTTGGGTACAAAGCCCAGCTCTTGACTAGGGGGTGTGTCTCACTTAGCTTCTGGGAATGATTTGCTTGGGACACAATCCCAGCAACGGGGTTAGAGAAGGAGGAAGAGAGAACCAAGCTTGGCAAGAACCAGCAGCAAGATGCGCAGTCTGGGAGGTTGGGGCAGGAGGGTGCGAGTTTGAGCCCAGCCTGGGCAACTTAATAACTGAGGGCTGGGGATGTAGCTCAGAGTGAACGCTGTGGGTTCAATCGCCATCAGGAAGAGAAGGCAGGGGGCGGGAGGGAGGAGGGTGGAGAGACAGCATGAGAAGAAAAGCCTTGAGAAACATGTCTGAGAGCTGTCAGTCCAGGGACAGACCCATTTGCGCTCGCACACCTGATGTCTGTGCAGAGCCAGACCCGAGAGTATCCCTGGGGATCGCTTCTAGAGCTCTTGGCTGAGTTCAAGTGTGGTGTCTGTCTAATCAGTTTAAGTATCAGATACACCTGTAGCCGAGGATCATCGGCTCCATGGGAGTTTTGGAGCTGGGAGATGGAATAGGAGTTTGCTCCGTCAGCTCCACACAGGGACCTGGTTTTGCAGCACGTCCAGGAATGGCGCCCCACCTCCACACACAAGGAAAGAGGACACTGCCCACCGTCAAGACCAGGGGTCGACGGGACACGCAATACGGGTGATCCCTGCAGACTCGGCACTAAGAGAAAGAAGCCAGATACAAACGTGTGCAGGCACAGCCCATCACCGAGACACCCAGGCACAGGCGGGGCTGTGGTGGTGTTGGAGCTGAAGATAGCAATCATCCTGAGCGGTGGAGACTGGACGGGACTCAGGGAGGCTGTCAGGTGCTGAAGGGTTCTGGATCTTGAGCTGAGAGACAGAAACATCCTGGGAGCACACACGTAAAAATTCATCAAAGTGAGAGCCAGAGGCAGTGATGCACATCCCTAATTCCAGCTACTCAATAGGTTGAAGCAGGAGGATCTCGATTCTTTTTTATGTTTTGTTTTGTTTTTTTGAAACAGGGTTTCACTATGCAGTTCAGGTTGACCTTGAACTCACTTTGTAGCCCAGACTGGTCTTGAACTCACAGTGATTCTCCTGTCTCAGCCTCTAGAGTGCTGGGATTACAGGTATGTGCCACCAGGCCTGGCAACTTACTCAGATTCTGTCTCAAACTAAAATTTTAAAAGGGTTAGGGAGTTAGCTCAGTGGTAGAGCTCTTGTCTATTATATGCCAGGTCTTGGATTCCACTCACAGTATTGAAAAGAAAGAAAGAAAGAATTCTTTAAATGGCTGGCGGGTACTGTGTGTGTTTTACTGTAACAAGGGAGGCAAATGAACAGGTAAGCAGAGGCTTCCTGATTGCTTCCGGGCCTATAACTGAGTAAGTGTGGGCTGGTGTTGGGGTTGTTCTTAAGCCTTAAGAACTTGGGGGATTCCCATCGGTGACCCTCCTTGGCCATACTGTTCCCACTTAACAGCTGTGGCCTGTGAGAACTCACTCAAAGTCCCTCATTAGCTTAAAAATTGGTTTTTGTTTAGTTTTGTTTTTTGAGGCCAAGTCTCACTGTGTAGCCCAGGCTGGCCTTGAACTCACAGTGATCTTCCTGCCTCAGCCTTAAGAGTGCTGGAATTACAGGTGTGCGTACCCATGCCTGATTATTTTTCCCTAAAATTTGTCTTTATTCAATTAATTTGCAGACTTCCCACTCTGGATCCAAATAGGCAGAGGGAAAGTTTTCAGTCCCCTCAACCTCCAAAGTGGGTGGAACAGAGGCGCTTGGATACAGCTCAGGGCCCAGATCCTCTCTGCCTGGTACTTCAAGGATGCGTCACCGACCAAACTCTTCTGTCTGCCTGCAGCACTCTGGCCCTAAGTCCCTCCACATGAGGATGTGCCAAGTTTTCTGAGGAAGGGGTGAGCCCCACCTACAGGCCCCACACAACTCCAGCCTGCAGGGCCTCGGGGGACAGAGTGTAGTTATCCTGACTCCTCTGTTTGACCCCACAACCCACGAACAGTCAGACTCTCCCCCATCTTCTCCACTGGCCCATCTGACAGGGCACCATGTCTCACCTCACCCACCTCCCTGCTTCTGCTTTGTTCTCCACACAACCCCAGGTCAGCCTTCTAGGCCCCTCCCCTCCAGGCTGCAGGACAACTGGCCAGAGACGCAGAGGTCCTTGTTTGGGCTGCGTTCCTGCAATAGGCCCAAGGTCCTAGACTAAAGACCAAAGTGGAGTCACCTGTGCCAAATTCCACCTCGCTAAGCTAGAACTGAGTCGTTATCTGACCTACAGAGAAAAAGAGGCATGCAGACAGACAGAGAGACAGAGAGATATACCGAGAGAGAAAGAGAGAGGCAGAGAGAAAGAGAGACTAAATTTCCTGTTTCGATTGACACGATGATAAAGTAAGGCTAAAATCTCACCAAGAAAACAAAAGTAACCAGATATGAGCCAATCAGTTACTGCTTCCTTGTTCACACCTCACAAGGAAAATAATCTCCAAGTGACCGGCCTGCTCCTTGTTTTGAGTTTTGATCTCCAGTGGTGCTGAGCTGGGACCCAGAACCTTGTGCGCTAGGCCCATGCTCTGCCCTGCCCTGCACCCCAGGTCTCCCTCTCAGCTCTGTTTCTCCTTTCTTCAGCCCATCTCTGTCTATAAAATCACCCTCCTCTGCTCAGTTCCTCAGAACATGTACTTTATGGGAATGAAGTGTGGCCCAGTTACAGAAACACAAAGCCAGTTTAAGAGTGACACTGGGTATTGAACCCAGGGCCTGCACACTGAGTAACATCCCCAGCCCTTTGTATTTTATATTTTAGTTATAATTTATTTATTTATTTTTGTCTTTTTCATTTTTATCGGTACCAGGGATCGAACTCATGACTACCAGCTTGCAAGGCAGGCGCTTATGCCGCTGAGCTAAATCTCCAGCCCCAATTTATTTATTTTGAAATGGGAGCTCACTAAGTCTCTCACTTGCCCAGGTCGGGTTGGAACTAGTGATTGCTCCGCCTCAGCCTCCCGGAGTGCTGAGATCATAGGTGTGCATCACGATATTGGGCTCAGTTGAGATCTTTATCCTTGATAATAACTTTTCTGTTGACAAAGTAAAAGCTTCAAGGGCATAAAGTCCCTCTGCTCCCTCAGCCCTGATGTTTACTCCTCCCAAGGTCCCAGCCTCCCTGGCCCTTGGTGTCACCTGGCATGCTCTTCTCTTGGTGCCTGCTTGGCCTCATTGGCCTCTCACCATGCCATGTAGCTGCCACTCTTTCCCCATGGAATCCACCCACATGTCTGTTAGGGTTACTTTTTGCCATATCTTCGCTAGGAAGTTCATTCCACAGTGACAGGGACCTGCTTTCCTCAGTGAAGGTATTCCACAGGTCTCAGACAGTGCCTAGTGTACAGGAGGGGCTTCACATGTGCTCATTAAATCAGTGAAACTGTAATCCCAGCCCGCAGGAGGCTGAGGCAGGAGGATCGCCAGAAGTTCAGGATCAACCTGGGTTACATACTAAGTTCAAGGCCAGCCACAACTACAAGACCCTGTCACAAAACAAAGAAAGAAACAAACAAACCAGTGAAACTAGCTGCCTAGGGTCATTCCGTTTGGCTGAAGAAATGGCCCAAGAACTTTCTAGATAAGCTTGGTACAGTTCCTAGGCCCATAGCCACCTGCCAGGCTTGGAAATTCCCCAAGATGCAGAAGAAGGCGGCCCCGGCTGTGGAAATAAAACCCAGCCAGCTGGGCTGTTGTTGATCACTGAGATGATAAAGGGGAAAAGGAAATGGAACAGAGTTGTCTCTGGCGGGCGTGAAAGGTGCTGGGCTTCTCTCAGGAGACTAAGCCAGGCTGGGACCCACCTTCGGCTGGAATGAGGAAGCCCCTAGCTGTCCCCCTGGGGTGAGGCAGGGCAGGAGGGAGGTGGCCGAGAAAAGCCTGCTGCCTGCTGGCTTCCTCCCCTGTCCTAATGGTGTCTCGGGGTCAGAGCCAGAGGCTGAGTCCAACACAGAACCTCCTGCCTCTTCCAGAAAGGTCTTCTTGTCCCCATGCCCCGGGACCACTGCTGCTATGTCCCTACAGCCCAGCTCCCATGTCACCCATGGGGAAAGTTCTGGAAGACGCTGTTACACACCCACCTCCAACCCCAGACCTCGAGCCCCAGGAGATCCTGTTGGTCTCACTGCAGAAGCTCAAGGCAGCAGCTAACTTCCCCAAGGTCACAGGGCTCCCGGGCCACTGTGAGAGACAGAGCTGGTGAAAGCTGGACGTTCTGAGCCAGCTTCACCTTTAAAACTTTAGGCCCTGAGATTTTGTGATTCTGGGGTGCCTGTCCACACATTTCGTCTGCCTCACAGACACTTTCTAGGTTCCCAGGGAACCTTGTCAGGCCCCTGGTTGTGGCCGTAACAGTTCATGTCCTTGTCCCCTTGAGGGATTTCCTTAGGACACCTGGGATAGATTTCCCAGCCTCATTCCCCTTTTCCTGGACTAAGGCCAGAGTGTCCCTAAGCACTTGCCTCTCTGCCCTCCCAGGTGCTGGGGCTCAGATGAGAACTTACCCTTCCTGCCCCAGGACCCTCTCCTGACTAGGACAGGGTCCCGGCTTGGCCTTGGAGGCAGAAGTCGAGGGATGTGGTGACCCCATTGGCAAACTGTCCCCTTGTGACCGCAGGGCCTCTCCTGCTGGTTGTTGAGGATCAGAGTAGATGTTGGGGTTCCCACTCATTTCTTGAGCACCCGAGATGTGGGTAGGTTCAGTGAGCACCGTCTTGGTAGCAGGTGCTGTGAAGGAGCTTTACTGCCCCCCATGATCTGGACAGCAGCCTCCTGCATATAGGTCAAGGAGCTGGGGTTCACAGCGCTCCTCTTGTTCTCCCAAGATCCCAGGAGCTGATAAAAGCTAGGATCAGGAAGCCCAGCCCTGTCCTTGGAGCCCAAGCCCCAGGGTGGTTGGTCACTGAAGGACAGAAGGGGGTGTGTGTTGCCATGGAAATGACAGGGGGTGGGGAATCATAGCACAAGGGCATAGAAAGGTGAGGCTGCAGCACCCTCCTGTTGGCCCTCACCTGGCTGCGTGCTGGAAACCACCCAGGCGCATGAGGCAGGTGCTGCCCCTCCTCCCGGGTGGAGGAAGCAGGAAAAGGTGGCCGCCAGAAGCAACAAGTTAGCCTGCTGGGCAGTGGAGGCCGGGGCCCCAGCGAGGATGGGCTTGATCTGCAGCCTGGTTCTGCCCCTTCTTCTCCTATGCTGGGAGGCTGGAGACTCCTGGAGCTTCACAGGTAAGGAGGTGGGGGGCCCTGGGGTGCATCCTGGCAGGGTTCTGGGTGTGAGTTTAGCACAGGCAGCTGTGGGTTCATTACAGTTAACTACGGGCAATAGGGAAGTGTGCTTTCTATTGATAATGAGTATGCAGGTGGCAGTGTGTGACACTACAGGGTCTCAGTGTTTGTCTTTGTTCACGTGGCCGTGTAAGTAGAGCATCTGGGAGGACCTGCTGGCCATCACTCTGCCTGCAGCGGAACAACGGTTCCTCCAGGTTTCTTACCTAGCAGCTTGTCCTCCCAGATACAGCTTTGGTGCCCCCTTGGGTGTGGATGCTGTCACAGACTACAGGGACAGGAGGATCTGAGGGGCAGAGATTTGATGAAAGAAGGGCACTCACAGATCTGTCACTAACAAGGACTAGGCCACGCTCATCACAGACCTTTAAAATAAACTTTGTATGGAGCAGGTAAGGGTGAGCAGAGGATGGAGAGTCCCCATACACCCCTGGTCCTTGCTGCATAAGGCTTTCCCCTCCACACCTCCACCAGATGGGTGCACGGTTACAATGGGTTACCTTATGATGGGCTGATCAAAACAGAGGGTTTTTATTTAAATTAAATTTTTGTTTAAATTATTTAAAATTTTAAAAACCATATACCAATAAACGACAAATTGCTATGAATTCCCCTCAAAATTGTCACCCTTGTATTTCTTTTTTTTAGGGTAGAAATAATACATAATTTCAAAGAAAAACAGTAAGAAATCACTAGTTGATAATTACATATTGTCCTCTTACAAATAGTTGTTCAAGTTACAAAAGGGAAGCATATAAAGTGAACATTCAAACAGTGAGACTGCAAACAGTTCTGTTCAACTATCCAAAAAACAGTTAGTGAAAAGGTTACCAACCCTATACATGCAGTTATCCATATCTTCATATGTGTTAAGATTAACCAAACCAAAGCAGGCTAAAATCACTCCGAACAAAGAATAGTAGTATTGCTGGATTTTGCATCATGACACTCCGGGTCAGCACTGGGTACTGTAGTGCCTCCTTTTCTTCAAAGTAGTTGTTCAGTTCATTATTCGTTACAAGATCAGTTCTCATAAACTGTTTATAGGTTCTACACATGCATGAGTCTCTACATGTATTTCTATCCTTTCTATATCAGAGGAAGAAACAAAACAAAGCAAGACAAAACAAAACAAATTCCTATAAACACAGGAATGAAAAAGTCATATAAAACCACAGTACAAGGTATTCTATAATAGCTACTTGTTATCTTCAATAGAATAGTCTATATTATCAGGCATAGTATAATTGAATATAGTAGTACATAACAATATTAATAAAAACAAAACGTTGTAAATAGTGTAAAACTTCCAAAGCAGGTAATAATCAAACCAGAATGAGCCTAGTGAGTCTTGTCATCTTCAGTGTAGTTGCCTATACTCTCAGACTTGATACTATCAGTCATAATAGTTTTGAATAAAATCTGTTGATACCAAACAGCAATCTAACAAACCAGATTCAACTAAGATCAGTTATGGTAAAACAGTATAAGTTATACAGGGCTTCAGATTAAGTTAATAGGAATTAAGGATGATTACCATACTATATCCTGCTATCCTGTGCCCTCAGATCTAGTGCAAGTAGACAAACTGGGACAGAATATAATCTATCTAAACAGAGCAGTGTGAGTAATGTGGGTTTAAATCCTGATACCTATTAACAATATCCTCTGCCTTCTTTTTTAAACTATTCTTCCCTTTTCACTCCCACAGGGTGCACTGTGCATTTTTGGGTCCCACCAACTCCCTCAGTTTTTAGATTGGGAGGGCAGCCTGCTACCTACCTAAGTGGTTCTGAACCTTCTCACTCCTGGACTTGATCTCCAGTTGTATTCCTTTCCAACCCATCTGTCTTTCAAACCTATCTGCAGGTGCTGGTCGAGTTGCCCTATTACTCTCTGGTTCCCTGTCACATAGAGCACTGCTTGCTCATATTTGATTTTCGGTCTGTAAACCCTTTTCCAGATTAATTATATTTCCTATATAGAGGATCTTGGTGGACCCTGCCTCCTGATCTACTCTGCCTGTGTTTCTTTCTCTCTCTTTTTTTTTAGTGTAACAAGGCCATCTATATTAGAGATTATAGCCAATCTTCTGTGCCTCATTTCTGTTGTGTTATTTTTCAGCCATTAGTTGTCTCCTTTTCTCCTTTCTCCACTTTCTGCTCCATTCATTAAGGCCTCTCTGCCACTGTTCCTGAAATCTTGGTTCTTTTTTCTCTCTCTAGAATGTCCTTCAGTAGTTTTTGTAGGGTTGGGTTGGTGGTCGAGAATTCCCCCATTTCCTCTTTGTCTTGGAAGCATCTTGTTTCTATGTTAATTTCTAGAGACAGTTTTTCAGAGTACATCAATCAGGGATGGAGGGTATTTTCTTTCAGGGCTTGGAATACTTCATTCCAAGCTCTTCTTGATTTGATGGTTGTGTCAAGAAGTCTGCCATGATTTTCCTTTATAGGTGATCTGTTTCTTTTCTTTTTTTGTCTTTTTCGTTTTTATCGGTACCAGGGATCAAACTCACGACTGTACACTTGCAAGGCAGGCGTTTATGCCACTGAGCTAAATCCCCAGCCCCTCTCTGATGGCTTTTAATATTCTATTCTTATAATTTCTGGGATCTTGATTATTATGTGTCTGGTTGCAGTTCTGTTTTGATTGTAAGTGGCTGGAGTTCTGTATGCCTCATACATCTGAATATCATTTCCTTTTCCTATACTTGGGAAGTTTTCCTTAATTATTTCTTTGTATTTCCTTTGTTTTTACTCCTGCTTCTTCATCTACATTCTTTATTCTCAAGTTATAAATCCTCTTGTCATCTTCTAGCCTTTGTATTGTTACTGCCTGTTTCCTTGTTATATTTAAGAGATCTTTCCTTTTATGATCACACATTGCAAACTTGTCTTTAAGTTTTGATAGTCTATCCTTAGTTTCTTTCAAGCAGTTTTGCCAGCTTTCAATGAAGTTTTTATTTCCTGGTAATCTCTTTGAACCTGCTTCATGTATTCTAGGTTTTCTTTATATTCTTCATCGAAAGTTTCTCTCCTTTTTTAGTGTTCCTCCATTCTTCTATCTGTGTCTTCTTGAGAGGTACTTAGCATTTCTTTTATTAATCTACTTATATCTTGCTTTACTTGATTAAGTATTTCACTTTTGAGCTCATCTATGAGGTCCCAAAAGATATCTCTCTATGTCCACTGATGCCGTGTCTGATATTGCGTGTTTGCTGCCCTTAGTCTCTTTTGTATTTACCTCTCCTGGATCAATGTTCTCAGGGCTGTGGACTGGGGACTTTTTCTTGTTTCTTTCTCTTGTCATGTTTTTGGTTTCTTCCAAACAGGTATATAAAGAAAGTCCCAGCCCCTTTCCTTGTTGGTTATGGTTCTTCTGAAATGTGCTGGCTAGGGATTTCTGCCCTCTCCAGTTCACTATTGGTCACTGAGGTGCAAACAGGGGCTGTGTATGCTGGCCCCTCCCCTCTGGGTCAGTCAACCTGTGAGGTCCTTCACTGCATTAGTGTGCACTGCCTGTATTGAATCAGTTTGGGGCAACTTATTGGGTCCCGGCCAGCGGCATGACCCAGGCCAAGCAGATCCCACCAATCTGGTCTGGGAAGGGAACAACTGACTGAAGTCACTGCTGTTCCTTGTTCCTGCCAGTCCTGCCAGATTCCAATGTGCCATTCACTTGGTCGCCTCTTTCCCATGGGAGGGTCTTATTCCCAGTACTCACCACGGGTCAATGCAGGTCCCTTGCTGGCTCCCTTCTCTGTTGGGCTCACTGACCTCTGACTTCAGCATGACCACGGTTCAGCAGTTGCAGCAGCAGGAGTTCAGGCAGCTTGATGGAAGTGTGGGAGTTTGGGCAGCTCCATCCCAGTGGCAAGAATTTGGGCAAGTTCAGGCACTGCAGCGAGAGCACCATGGCCACTAATCTTAGCTGCTCCAGTGGTAGCCCCGGGACTGCATGTTTGACCGGTTCTTTTCCCTTTAGTTTCTTCCTGGGTGGAGAGGATCCATCTCCCTCTGTCCGGACCTCCCCATGATGTTTTATTCCGGCATCTGAGTTGTCTGTCTCCCGTATTTCTTTTTGATAACAGGAATCAAACTCATGACCTTGAATTTGCCAAGCAGGCACTGTGCCACTGAGCATCCAGCCCTGTCTCTTCCTTTGAACAAACTTACCTCTTGTTCCCATGTCCTTGCCACTTCTTGAAGCAGGTCTGGATGTCCTCCTTCCTGACCATCTTTGGTTGTGCTGTCCTGGCTGCCTTGATGCCCTGAATTGTTGCAAAACATTTCCCTCTCTCAGTGACCTTGATTTTGGGAAAGAGTCAGAAGTTTCAGTGTCAGGTCCCATGAAAAAGCGAATAAGGACACACAGGAATCTTTTCATGAGCCTGACGTTTTGTTCCATGGCACCAGGCACCAACATTCCCTATGTTGTTGGTCACACCTTGTAAAGACACTCAGAACAAAGGACTTCCAGAACTGCTTTAGAAAGTGGCAAGGATGATGGAGTAGGTGTGTTTGATGCAAAGGAAAGGATTTGGGGAAGGATTCATGGCAATGTGTCTTTTACTGTAACAAAATTTTTAAAGATTCACTGTAGTTTTCACTTACACTTCCTGTATTGGTACCTCACTATCAAACTCATAATGCTATGTGACAGGCAGTGTTCTTGCGTCCTCTACCTCTTTAGGGGTAAGGAAACTGAGGCTGACAGGAATGAAGCAATTTATCCAGAGTTAGTTAGATGCCACATGCACTAACCACTGACCCGCGCTGCCTGGTGCATGTGCTCAGCCTGCCAGGTTTGTGCTGCCTTCTCCATTCTGACCTCTTGCAATAGGTGCTCCAAGCTCCATAGCCAGGCTGGGATCCAGTAGACCTGGCCAGGACTGCAGGATAAGCTCACAGCAGAGCAAGCAACAGAGAAGGGACTCGAGCCAGGCTCCAGGTCCCACTCTCCTCCCTGGGCTTGGTGGGTTGGACCAGGTTGCTGCAGTGTCTCAGAGCAATGACTGAGGTGGTGATGGTGGGGCTTTGCTGTATGTTGAAGACCTGGCCAGCAGGAGATGGCAGGGTGGTAACAGCTCTGGTGGTGAAAAGCCTATGGGTTTAGGGTTGATGGGGCGTTTTTTGTAGTGGACGTGACACAGTGGGAGCCAGGATAAAGGAAGAGAATGCACCGAGGAGGTCAGGCATCGGATGCCAAAAGCCCAGCATTTGGGCATCTGGCTGTGTGGGCTGAGGCCGGAAAGTGCAGCTCCACACTGTGGGGACCAAGTAGGAAGCTCAGAGAGATGCTAGGGCTTTGTGCGTGACAGGAACTTGACCGAGAAGGCAGACTCCTGCACAGGTGTGATTCGTGTGGGTGGGTGTGCCCACGGCCCTAGTAACGTGCATGCGGGCTGCAGTCTGAAATTTCCCAGGATCAAAGTAGGCTGCGTGCTTCCAAGTGACTCTTTGAGGGGACACTGGAGGAAGGGGCTTCCTCATCCCTTGCAGGCTTTGGAAAATCAGAACTTCCTCATGTTCCCTTTTGGTCCTTTCCTAGGAGGGCGGTGTCCTGACAATCTTTCCCCAGGGTACTGGAGATTCTTGGTGGCAGAGCCCAAAGTCACACTTTGACAGAGATCAATCCGGCCAGTGGGTGGCAGGAGTCTCTTGAGCGCGTCCATCTCTCAATGATGTCCACAGGAGGACGAATTAAGGACCTGGGGCCTGTCCTAGCCTCCCGGGGAGTGGTCCTGGGCCTCCTTAGTGTCCTTGGTTTACACTTGGACCAGTGGCCTTCACTAAATACTGTCTCAGCCAACAAAATGCCTACAGGGGCTTCATATCTTGATCTCTCTCCTCCAAAAGCGAGGTTACCTGGATAAAACACAAGGCATCCAGACACTTCCCTATTTCCAGGAATGGATTTTTTAAAACATATGTCTTAAATACTGCATGAGAAATACTCAGACTAAAAATCATCCACCGTTTCATATCTAAAACAATTATTCTTCATTAATCTGAAATGCAAATTCCAAGTTAACTAGTTGCGTAGTATTCTTATCTGTCAAATCCAGCAGCCTGCCCCATGAAGTCCTCCAGTGACAGCTGTGCCCTGTGGGCAGGAAAGCACCTCAAGGAGGCCACGAAGGCCCCCTGGAGCCAGACGGCCACCGTGAAGCCTGCTGAGCTCTCTGCAATCTTCGCCTACGCCTATTGGGCCTTTATCTCTGTGGCTCTGGCTTCTGGTCGCAGCTGCCGGTGCCTCACGCAGCATGGCCACGGGCAGGGATGGCACACCCTCTTCCCTCCCTGCGGCTCCGAGGACTCTGCCCAGTGCCTTCACTTTTGCCCCCTTTCCCCTTCCCCTGCCACACACACCCTGGAGTTTCCTCTTCCCTGGTCTTTCCAGGTTCCAGTAAGGATGAAACCATGGAGCTTTCTTGTATTTTAAGAAAATGCTTTCATAGAGAAACATTTGTTGGATGAGAAAGTATTCATGGGAAGCAGACAAGAAAACTTTCAGGAACTTGAGCCTAGTCCCCCACTCTGCAGTTCTTGGTTCACATAAATGTCTACCTTCTTTGTCCTTTAGTGTGGCCTTTGTCTGGCCACACTTGCGGCAGACCAATAATCACCTAGGGAGCCGGGCTTGCTGCTCACATACATAGTTAGGGCTTGAAGGAGGCAGTCAGGGGAACACCAGCTCTGTGCTGTCCCATGGGCCTGTGCTTCCCCATTCTGCCTCCTCTTTCTCCCTCATTTATGTGGATGGACACTGGGGAACAGTCCTCTGCCCTGGCCCCAAGCAGTGCCCATGGCCTAAGCCCAGGAGCTGTGTAGAGCCTGTCCACAGCCTCTCACGTATCACCACATTGGTCTCACCCAACGCAGATCCCACATCCAGCAGACCCTACCAGTTTGTGATGACAAACACGACCATCGTGCTTACTGAGATGCCAGAGATCAGCGCACGCATGGAGAGAGGCTTCCAGGATCCTGGACTTGCTAGGACCACAGAGCAAGCCCCCCTTAATGTGGAGACTGCAACCCTGGGCACTGAGACCTTTTCCAAGACATTAACCCCAGCTGCCACTGCTTCTGAAACAGAGACTAAGGAGGCTCTGACCGTTTTTTCTGCATCAGAGACCCAGGTCACCCAAGCCAACCTCCCTGTCACAAATTTCAGGGATACACAGACTCCTTTCTCCATCACAGAGTCCAGGGACACCAAGATCCTCTCCCCTGGCCCAGAGGCTAGGGGTCCCCAGGCCACCTTCCCTGAGACAGAGGCTAGAGATCCCCAAGCCACCTTCCCTGTCACAGAGGCCAGCTTCCCTGTGAAAGAGGCTAGGGATCCCCAGGCCACCTTTCCTATCACAGAGGCCAGTGATCCCCAGGACACCCTTCCTGTCACAGAGGCCAGGGTTCCCCAGGCCACCCTTCCTGTCACAGAGGCCAGGGATCCCCAGACCACCTTCCCTACGACAGAGTCTAGGGGTTCCCACGCCACCTTCTCTGTCACAGAGTCTAGGGTTCCCCAGACCACCTTCCCTGTGACAGAGACTAGAGACCCCCAGACTCCCTCCCTTGTTGCAAGAGACAACCCAATCATTCTCTCTGTATCAATAAGCAGGGACACTCAGCCCATTCCTCCAGCTTCAGAGGGGGCCACCCTCCTTGCCACAGAGTTCAGGGACACTCAGACTACTGTCCATGCCACAGAGGCTACGGATCCCCAGGCCACCTTCTCTGTCACAAAGGCTGGGGATCCCCAGGCCACCTTCTCTGTCACAAAGGCTGGGGATCCCCAGGCCACCTTCCCTGTGACAGAGTCTAGGGGTCCCCAGACAACCTTCTCTGTGACAGAGTCTAGGGGTCCCCAAACCACCTTCCCTGTGACAGAGACTATGGGTCCCCAGGCCACCTTCCCTGTCACAGAGGCAGGGGATCCCCAGGCCATCTTCCCTGTGACAGAGGTTAGGGATCTCCAGGTCACCTTCCCTGTCACAGAGTCTAGGGGTCCCCAGACCACCTTTCCTGTCACAGAGTCTAAGGGTCCCCATGCCACCTTCTCTGTCACAGAGTCTAGGGTTCCCCAGACCACCTTCCCTGTGACAGAGACTAGAGACCCCCAGACTCCCTTCCTTGTTGCAAGAGACATTCCAATCATTCCCTCTGTATCAATAAGCAGGGACACTCAGACCATTCCTCCAGCTTCAGAGGGGGCCACCCTCCTTGCCACAGAGTTCAGGGACACTCAGACTACTGTCCATGCCACAGAGGCTACGGATCCCCCAATCATTAGCCATATATCAGAAGTCAGGGATACCCAAGCCTTTTCCCCTACATCAGAGACCAGGGGGACACTCAGAAAAATAATCCCTTCTGACTTGATGGCTACAATTGCTGTCCCTGTGGAGGCTTTGGCCACAAGTGGCAGCTCTGCAAGAACTGGACAAACCACAGGTGAGATTCCAGCAGGCAGTGATCCCATGAAAGCCATCTTTGACACTCTTCATACTGATGATAGCTCTGAGGAGACAAAATGGATCACAAACAGTGTCTCGATCTTGGCGCACACTTTAGAAGCTGAGAGCCTCTCCTTAGATGGCAGCTCTTCCTCAGTCAGCGCTGCAGCTATCACCACCACCTCCCAAGCTCTGGGGCCTGATGTTGTCACCTCTAGCAAAGCCTTGGTCCCCTCAAGCACCACCCACATCAAGTTCCTCAGGGAAACAGAAACAGCTGTTGCCACCTCTGGGACTTCAGACACAAGCTCCAGCCCCTCTGGAGTGAGGGTCTGGTCCACCTCTGAGACATCAGCTTTGCTTGCCTCCACTGAGGCAAAGTCATCCATCCTGAGCCCCACATACCCTGCTGAGATCTTGTCCTCAGAGACAGCTGCCCCCAGTAGCACCCTTGAGGCTTCACTCTCCAACAGCACCACAGGAACAAAAGCAATATCATCCCCTGGCTCCGGCCCTAGAACAGCTCAGGTGACAGTTAGCATGGGCTCCGTGGGAGACACCTCAGCCCTCTTTGGGATCATCTCTGCCAAGGCTGCACCAGCATTTGGCAAAGTGACTTCCTCTGCTGGATCCTCAACTTTCGTCTCCAGCTCTTCAGAAAGAGCCACCATCAGGAACTACGTCGTTTCAGAGACTATTACCACAGACAGCACAGTCAGCTGGGCCTTCCCTGCCGGAAGAGGACCTTTTCTCTCTGCCCATCCGACTGTAGCCAGCAGCAGCCAAGAGACAAGCCTCACCTCAGCCATGACCATGACCTCACCAAAGATTTCTTCGGAAACTTTTACTTCAGAAGGCACAAGCAGCAGGGACTTCTCCACCAGCAGGACACCTCTTCCTTCTGTCTTTTCCACTACAGCCAACAGCAGCCAAGAGACAAACATCACCCCAGCCATGACCATGACCTCACCAAAGAACACTCCACAGGTTTTTACCACAGACAAAGGCTTCCCAACGAGCAGTCCTCTTTCTCCTGTCTTTTCCACTATAACTGACGGCAGCCAAGAGACACACGTCTCCTCAGCCATGACCAAGACCTCACCAAAGATCCCTTCAAAGGCTTTTACTACAGACAGGACCATTGCCACCAGCACTCCTCTTCCTCCTGTCTATGTGACTACCACCAACAACAGCCAAGAGACAAATGTCACCTCAGCTATGACTACAACCTCATCCAAGACTCAGAGGATGCCCCTAACAGCTACATCCACCACTGTTTGGACAAGGCAGTCTCCAGAATTTACTGCAGGTAAATGACTTTCCTATGTGTGATCTTTGGGCGTTTAGAGTTAGGAGTCTCTGGGGTATCTGCAAGCTTAAAGATTTAGGAAGGAAAGGATCTCTCATCCATGTCATCTGTTCATGTCACCTAGCGGTTCTTGCCTAAATCAGCACTAAGCAGTTAAATGGAGTCTGTGAACAGGGCCGGATTGGAAATGTGAGGGAGTAGTTTCGTATCTTGGCACTGCCCTTAACAAGCTGGCCTCAGGTTCTCCATCTGTGGTGAAGGAAGTTGCATTGAATGTATACTGAAGTCCTTTCCAGATCTGTCTTTCTATGAAGTTAACTGCTGAGCAACTACTGAGCCCCCAACATGGTCCCAAATTTAATCACAGCTGCTCAGGAGGCTGAGACTGGAGGATCATGAGTTCAAGCCTAGCTTGAGCAACATATTGAGATCCCACTCCAAATACACACACAGAGACACAGACACACTGACACACACACACACACACACACACACACACACACACACACACACACTGTGTCCTTTAAGCTTTGGAAGCCTCTGTTCCAACCCTAGACACAGGCTTACTGGATGGGCTTGCCAAGGTTTGTGCCATTGTAGTGACTTAAAATACTGAAGTAGATGAATGGTGTTACACAATCTTGATATGTTTGATGCTATAGCATATGAAGTTATATTCAAATATTTCAAAGAAAAAGACACTATGGTAACTACTATTAAGTCGGGTTATTTGGTGGTGAAGCACTAGGTTGCTGAAAGTGTCATGCTTTAACCTGTATTGTTATGTTGTTGTGCCCCCTTTTATCTCATCCTCTCCCTTATTCATTAAAAAATTATTTAATTTTTTAAATTCCTTTTTTAAACTAAGGGGAAAAAATAAAAAATCTAGCAGGATATATTATAGTAACTTTTTTGATTTCCTATCAACTTGAAGTCCTGTAATACCCCCATTATCTTGTTTTGACTGATTAGACTCTATTCTGCTCTGTATGAAAGTATCAAGTATGAGAGTATCGGCAACTACTATAAAGGCAATAAGATTCACTATGATGCCCATTCTGGTTTGACTATTATCCTCTTTTGAGGTACTGTAAGATTTACAAAGTTTAGGTTTTATTGGTCTTGTTCTCTACTGTTATGTTTAACTCTATAATACCTAAAGAGATAGACAATTCGTCTTAAGGATACAAGAGGCATTAGGGTAACCATTGTTGATAACCCTGTACTCTGTTTTTACATCATGTGCTATGTCTATCCTTGGTTTTGACTGACAGCTTTGTTTTATCATGCTTGATTTTATTCTCTTACAAAAAAAAGTAATAAGATCTAAGGGAGCAATAAAGCCCAAAATGTGTAAATCTTGTTGTAATAAAGAGAGGGAAAGAAAAGTGCCCTGAAGGATACAACAGCAAGGGTGTTTAGGTGTGTTGCACAGAAGACCATATTAATAGTTTGGATTGGATTACTGAACACAACTGCTTGCAGTCTCACTGTTTGAATGTTCACTTTGTGTGCCTTGATCCTGTGACCTGAAACACCATTTCTAAGATGATAGCGAGTAATCTATTAACTGGTAATAGCATACTGTTTTTTTTTTGTTTTTTGTTTTTTTTGCTTTTCTGTCGTTCTGAATTACTTGTACCCTTACACTGTTTTGTTTTGTTCTGCTTTTTTTTTCCTCTTTTTTCCTTTTAAATAAAATATTAAAAAAAATACTGAAGTAGCTAGGATGAGGGTTGGGGAGGCTACAGTGGCAGCTCTGGGACAGCAGCTGTCTCAGGCAGGAGCTTGTGTCACAGGAGGCTTCTTAGCCTGACTCCTGTCCGCCTGCAGCCTCTGCCTGCAGCATCCCTCTGCCCTTATGCCTCACCCCTGTGCATCCTCACTTCATCCCACAACCACCTTATCTTGCCATTTGTATTCTACGCAGAGCTGATGTCAAAATATTTCACACCCAGTGAGCACCGGCACCAGCGGAACGCTCTCTCTGAACTTTGCGCATCTTTTCTAACCCATCAGCAAAGCAACTGTGGGAGGAGAAAACAGATGTGAGGGAGGGAACGGGATTGTCCTAGAAAGACAGTAATGGGATTCAAGTAAAAGCCTGTTTGATTCCAGAGTACACAGGCTCCTCCCTGTACTTTCTGTTTAAAATCTCAATACATTAGTGTGTTTTCATTTTAAAATACTTGTCTTCATTATTTGTTGACTACATAATACATTCATATGATTTCAAATTCAAAAGATATACATATACACATGTACATAAATGATTTGTATCTGTCTCCATATATCTTTTATCCTTTTTTATATAAGCAGAGAATATGGTAAAGTCAGATCTCTATAACATAGTTATTCTTTTTTTCTCAAGGTTATGAAAACTTTTTCATTCATTTTCTATGTTGAGTTCATCCTCATTATCTTGCATTTTAGCTCTTGGATTTCAACTTGTTTTTTAATTGTAGTAAACACTGTCAACATGATATCTATCCTACCAGATGTTTAAGTGTATAGGACAGTATTGTTTTTTGGTTTTTTTTTTTGTTTTTTTTTTTTGTCTTTTTCCTTTTTATCGGTACCAGGGATCGAACTCATGACTGCCTGCTTGCAAGCAGGCACTTATGCCGCTGAGCTAAATCCCCAGCCCCCAAGACAGTATTGTTAATGATAAGCACTGACGAAAGCAGATTTCTAGAACTTAGATATCTTGCATAACTAAAAGTTTATTCTATTGATTATCAGTTCTCCATTTCCTCCTTCCCTTTGAAAGCCATTTATTTATATTTATTTATTTGAGATAAGGTCTCACTAGTTCAGGTTGTCGTTGCACTCACTATGTAATATAGGCTGGCTTCATATTCATGAGAGTGCCTGCCTCAGCCTCCCAAGTGCTGGGATTCCAAGAGTGCACCACTACGCCTGGCCCATCCTTTTCTATGGTCACTCAGTATTTCCTTTGTCTCCCTGTCATTTATTTAGCCAATCTTGTATGGGGGGCAATTTAGCTTAATACTGCAACATATAGAGCTGCCGTGAACGGTACATTTCTCCTGTGTGTGCTCATTGGTGCAGGAGAAACTTCTAGAAGAACAGTTACTAGGTCTAATCTATTTATATTATCATTGGAAGAAATAGCTCTGAGGTGCCACTGAAAGAGGAGATGAGGCCTCCACCAGAGACAAGTTTCTGGTAGAGCTGCTAGGCCAGGAAAGCTGGATCCACTTTTTTTTTTTTTTTTTTTTGGTCTTTTTCTTTTTTATCAGTACCGGGGATCAAATCCACGACTGCCTGCTTGCAAGGCAGGTGCTTATGCCACTGAGCTAAATCCCCAGCCCTAGAGGTCCACTTTTAAGCCCAGCAATTTAAACCCAGAAGGACTGGCTGTGGGTGCCCCCAGAACAGCCTCCCCAAGCATTCCTAGTCAGACCCTTTCACGACCAGCTCATCTGGGACCTTCGAGACTTGAGAATATCCTACATTCACTGGTTCTTCCTCACTCTTCCCTTTTGGCATCTCCACACGTGCTGCAAGCCATGGTGACTTTTGCTGTTAGCAGAGGTGGGTGTGACTAACCCTGAGAGGGAGCACAGACACAGGCATGTGTGCCAGTGCGTACCTAGGTGTGAGGGGCAGAGGTTGACCTGCAAGTGCCACCTGATCCCTGAGCTGTCTTGATTGTATTTTCTTCTCCTTGTTCTTAACCAATGTGCAGGTGCAGACAGAGGCTTCCTCCTCGTGCGGCTGAGGGTGGCCTCCATGGAAGATCTCACAGAGCCTACAGAGACAGAGAGGCTGGTTGAGCAGGTGAGTGGGCATCGTGGCCATCAAGGGAGTGGAGGGAGAGGTGCTGGGCACTGCAGGCTGCAGAAGAGCAGTTTCTGCATGGTAAGATCCCTGCCTGGCTTTGCTTCTGCCTGGCTTCCCTTCCTTCACTCCTCTTCTCTGCAATGTAAATAAATTCCTCTCCCAAGCTGGTTTCTTCAGGTCTGAGGAAGTACAGACCTTCTAGCCCTTGAGGGGAAGTTCAGTGATACGGATGGGCAGGTAAAAAAACCTCTAGCTGACAAGTGGCAGAAATCCAATTCATACTAGTTCCCATGGAAAAGGGAGGTCTAAGAAGCTGACAGGTGGCTTTTCCAGCATGGCTGCGTGCAGCAGCTCAAGCATGAACACGAGGATTTTCTGTCTACTCTGCTCCTATTGAGCTGCATTCTGCAGTCATAAGACTATTCTGTGTTAGTCACTGGGACAAAATAAAAATGCCCAACTGCTGCAACTGAAAGGCAGAGAGGTTTATTTGACTCATGGTTTCAGAGGGTTCAGACCTTGGTAAACTGGCTATAAGCCTGATACACCGTGGTGGAAGAGTATGGTGGAAGAAAACTGCCCACTGCCTGGCATCCAGGAAGCAGAAAGTGGAAGGAGGAGCCCAGAGTAGGAATTCACCCTTGCAAGTCATGCCCCCAGTGACCCACCTCCTCCAACCAACCCACCTCCTAGCAGCCCATGAACTCTCATTAATGAGTATGGAGCTCCCATGATGCAACTGCCTCCCAAAAGTCCTACCCTGAACACATGAGACTTCTGAGGGAGATTTTAGATCTAAATCTAAGTATTTTCCCCCTGGATCCTAAAAAAATTCAAGTCCATTTCATAATGAAAAATACATCAGTCCATCTCTAAAAGTTGCCAAAGTAGTCAGGTATGGTGGTGCACACTTGTAATCTCAGCATTCTGGGAGGCTGAGGCAGTAGGAGTGCAAATTTGATACTCAGTTTGGGCAACTTGGTGACTTAGTGAGACCCCATGGACTGAAAAGTCCAAATCCAAACTATCCTCTGAGATTCAAGGAAAACTCATAGCTGTGAGCCACTGCAAAAATAGAAAGTTAAATATTTCTAAACTATAATAGTATAGAGCAAACATTCCCATTCCAAAAGAGAGGAATAGGGCAATAAAAAAAGAATTAGAACAAAACCAAACCAAAACCCAACAGGCCAGATATTAAGTCCTGTAGTTCCATGTCTGGCATCCAAGGCATATGGTAGTGAGTTTCAAAGGGTAGCTCCACCCCCATGGCTTTGTTGGTTGCAGCCCACAGAGCCTCTCTTGGGCTGACTCTGTTCACAGCCTGCAGCTTTCCCCAGGAAACTGTCCATGTTCCTGGAATTTTTGAGTTCTTTGGGTCTCTACAACATCTTTGGCTTCATTCCCACAGCTTCTTGCCCTATCCTCTTAGGCTCCTTGCCTTGCCTTCGGTTCTTTCTTTTGAAAACTGGGTGGATGCCTCTCTGACCCCTCAAGTCTTACATTCTGCACACTACCATGTGGACAATGCCAAGGTCTGCCATATTGTGGGTAGCAGTCAGGCCCTCTTGGATCATGGCAGCAGCAGCAGCTTGTAGGTGTCTGGATGGCTGAGCAGCACAGTGAGAGGAATCCCAGGGAACAATTCCTTAAGAGGCCCTTCTTGAGCAGTGGGCCCAGGGGCTCTCTTCTCAAATGGAAGATGTTCATTTTGTACCTTGGAAACTTGGGTCGGGGGAGTCTTGCTGATTCATGACTCACTCCTCCAACCAAGCCCTATGTCCTAACAGAAGAAAGACTTATCAATGTATAAATGCATTGATCAGTATAGTGCCTCAAAATCCAATCATCTTCTAAAAGACCCACCTCTGAACACATAAGACGTTTGGGGGACATTCTAGAGCTAAAATATGACAATCCCCTCTCCTCAAGTTTGCATATTATCCAGAAAAGGACTGGTCTCATTGGCCTGCAAAAGACACCAATCCACACCAATAAAATATTTTGTGATCAAAATCTACAATGAATGTATAAATTTAAAAAGCATTTTATAGTAAAAGACACACCGCCATTAATCCTTTTCCAAATCTTCCCCCTCATTCCAAACACACCTATCCTACCATGCTAGCCACTCCCTGAAGCAGTTCTGGACACGTCCCCATTCATGCATAGCTTTATGCAGTGTGACAAAAAGAAGGGTCAACACTGCTGCCAGGGGCCGTCCACTGCAGAGGCAGGCTGGCAAGAGCCCAGCAGCAGGCTGTCCACCTTACTCACTGGACCTGGCACCGGGCCACTTGTGATTCTTCCCCGAAGTAAAAATGGCCATGGAAAGTGACCGTTTTGAACCGAGTAAAGACATCAAGACAATTAAAGACATTCACAGAAGACTTCCAATGCTTCTAAAAGCGGCAAAATGATGGGCTAAGTGTTTGAAGTGAGTGGGAAGGTATTCAGGGTCATAAATGGCAATGTGTTTTTTACTGTAATAATTTTTTAAAATGTAAACATTCACCATATTTTTTTATCAAACCTCATAGATTTGTCCCAGATGAAATAGGGATACTACACAGAAAAAAAATTGCTGGATGTGTTTTGGTCTCCATAAATGGAGACCAAGATTGGGATGTATTTGCATAACAAATTGGGAAAAGTCTCCTAAACTCAGATTATTGGACAGAGCTTCCAATGGTGAAATTTTGGGGTCAGAGCTTTTGGAAATGGTGTGAAGCATTGAAAAGTTACACTGGGTCAAGCCAGTGTAGCTTTCACAAAGTGAGAGACGCACTGTGAAGTAGGAGCGAGGTCTTCCCACAGCGTCACCGGTGAGAACAGATCCAGGCAAGCCTAATGTGGATTGTCCCCTTGCAGTGCCCTGACAGTGGCATGGACACTGCTCATAGTTAATGGTACCGCACGCTAAACAGTGCAGGTTCAGGGTCACCCTCACAAAGGCAAAGCCAGCAGAGGTGCTGTCTGGGGGTCTTGGGCCGGGGATAGAGGCCTACTTCATGGGGAGGTGGTGACCCCAGCAGATGGAGACAGGATGTACTACTCATTGCAAGTAGGATCCTTCACTGTAGGCAAAAATCCCACCCACCATCTGTCATAAGTAAAAGGGACATTGGTAGGGTCCCATGTGCACAAAATCAAAGGAACCCCAGAGTAGCAGGCTTGAAAAGCAGACAGGCACTGTCTAGTAGAATGTCACTCCTGCTGGCCACAGTCACTATTGGATGCTGCCAGATTCAGTGGACATCACACTGCCTGTGTAGGTGTGAATGGAGACAAAGAGGGGATCAAGGGTCGAATGTCAGATCTGACACACAGATGGGGAATTGTTTCAGGGTGCAGAAGCCAGGGAGATTGGGGGCAGTTCAGGCAGCTGAAATGCAGGCAGCAGGCCATGTAGGGATTGTTGGGGGGCAGCCAGTCATGTGGGACTCTGGGACAGCACACGGTATCAGTAAATGCCGTGACCCACATCCAAAGAAGGACGTAGAGAACCTGAAGGGCAGAGGGAACCGTGGGCACTACCGGCATTTGGTTTAGCTTGTGGGACCACGTAGCCCTGGTATGAGTTCCAGTCTTACTTGTGCATCGTTGGGTAAGTTATTCCCTTATAAAAGAGAATCATAATACCTGCTTTACAGGGTTGGTATGAGGTTGAAATGACATAATGACACGGGAGGAGTGTCATGGATGTTCCCTCTTACTGTCTTTTCCTGCTCTTGGCCTGCGATGAGCTTATGGGCCAGATGGACTGGACTAGCACCTGCCTCCTTCCACTCCCCAGCTCCAGTGTGAACTGCAAAGCCATGTGCCGCATGCCCACCTTTCCTTACTGCGCATCCAGAGGAGCTGAAGAACATCGGCTGCAGCCAGGCATACCCCTGTGCCAGAGAAAAACAGCCCTGCCCATGGCTTGAGCCTGCTGACAATGGAGCTGCATTACTGTGCTGACAGGGACCCAGAAGGTTCCCATGAAGGTCAGCTGGTCCAACCCCTTCCCTGGAAGTGGTTGCAGGGTCCTGGCTCACTTATGTTTGGAGAGAGGGCTTTCCCTATGCCCAGAGGTATACTTCACTTCCTGGGCTCATGCACTGTGGTCAATAAAGATAGACCTGATCACCCATTCCTGCACTTCTGTGTGATCTCCATACTGTGGACATTTAAGTTGCATAGCTATCTTAGTCAATTTTCTTATCGCTGAGGTTCTCCTGGATTATGGTTTTAGTGCATAGTCAGCCACTTCCAAGGCAGGAAGGTTGCTGGAGGAGGCTGGCAGAGGAAGCTTCTCTCTCACAGCAGCCAAGGAGCAGAACATGAAGGGAGGAGCCCTAAAGGGAGATAAACCCTTCCAGGTCACACCCTCAGGGAGCCTCCTCTTCCCATAAGGCACCACTTCCTAAGAGTAAGTCATGTATGTCACTGCAGTGGCAAACAGAAACACCAAAATGACACCCAGGATTTAGAGGTGGATTTATGTACGTCAAGGAACACTGACATGGAATCAGTTACTCCTCAAAATGTCAGGCCTTGAAGGCTCAGGGAGGAAAATTTTTCTGGAATTGCAAAGGGGAAGTACAGAGGCAAAGTTCTTGGCTGTCTTTGATTGATTCTTACAGTGTGCATCATAGTGACCAGCTGTGCACTACAGTGACGAGCTGTTTCTAAGAAAGAGAAGTAACAGGAACTGTAACAGGAACTGTCACCTGGGCAACTAACAGAAACTGAAGTGTTCTGGCTGGAGGGGGAGTATTTTCTGCCGTAGCATACCCAAGCCCCAGTCACCTCCCCAAAGGCCTCCCTCTCAGCTAATCAGAGTTTGGGGTGTCATTTCTGGATCTAAACCACAATACAAGTAGGATCCACGGTTCCCTCTGCCCTTCACATTCCCCATTTCTTGGTTTAGATCTGGGTCACCCTTGCCATCTACTGACCCTTGAGCTTTGTATTAGTACCTTCATTGGAGATAATTAATTTATTAAGAGAAAAGCTTTATTTTGACTTGTAGTTTTGGAGTTTTCAGTCTAAGGCCAACCAGACCTTTTGCTTTGAATCTCAGGTGGGTTTGCTGGGTGGCAGTGTTGTGGATGCATGATGGAGCTAATGGCTTAGCTCTTTGCCAGGAAACAAAAGAAAGGGAGAGGAAGGGGCTGAGGCCCCCAATGGCCTAAGGACCTATATCCTAAGCTTCCACCATCTTCCCAAAGAACCATGCTGGGGACCATGCCTTTTCAACATGGATCTTTGGGGACACCCATCTAAACAGCAGGCTGCCTCAGGGCAGGGACCATCTTTGCTTGCTTCAAATCCCTTGAATCCAGCAGGTCACCTGGCTTGAGAGAAGATCATGGGAAATGTTTGTTGAATTGATTTGAATTTCAAGTTCCACACACAAAAGCAGATTTAAAAGAAAAATTTTCAATATTAAACAAACCCACACATACTTTATAACTTATAACTTATATTCTATTATTACTTTGTTCCTTTATTTGTTTGTTTACTTACTTTGTTTTTGAAATGATCCTGCTATGTAGCTCAGGCTGGCCTTGAAACAGCAACAATCCTGCCTCAGCCTCTCAGGTGCTGGGATTATAGTTACGTGCCACCATGCCTACTGCTATTAATATCTTGTAATCAAGTATGTTTTTTTCTATTATAAGAGCAAAAGCTGCTTATGATTTTAAAATTTTGGCAAAAGAGACAAAACAAAACACCAATAACAACATGGAACAGTCTGGCTGAATGTGGTATTGTTTTATAAAATCTACAGCAGTGTTGAGATGTGTATTTACTAATGTGAAATACATGTGTCATTCTCTCCTCTCTTTCTTAAAATGACACAATCTTTTTCCTACTCACACTATTTTTTGCATCATTTCCAGTTCTGTTTGCTCCAAATTCAAAGCTGCTCTCCTCACTGCCTTCGGAGAGAACAGCCAGCCTGCTCTACAAGGGGCTGGCGATTTGGTCAACTTGCTCAGCTCCCGGTCCCACCGCCCTAAGGCTGCAGCCTGTGCTCCTTCCATGGGGAGCTCCCCTGGGGGGAAATGTCCCAAGCCACACCTGCTTTGACTTCAGTGTTCACCCCAATGTGCTCCTGCTGGGTGTTGCTTCACCCTCACACTCCTGTTTATTCTTCAAAACCCAGTTCAGACGTTATCTCTGTAAGATTTTTCATATTCTCTAGAGAGACGCTGATTTCTTTTACCCTCTTTACTTGTATTTCTGGCTTAACATTTAATATACTGTACTGTAATTTATTTTATTTACAAATTTATCAAATTGCACATGCTTCGGAACAAGAACCAGAAAGTCTATATTCATCTTGGTAGTCACAGAAGTTTCACAGAAGCTGAATGACTGAATGGGATGACGGGCCGCCTGAGAAAATCCCTCTGACACATGGCCACTGGGCTCCGAAAGTGAAGAAAATGGCATCTTCATCGAAATTAAAAAACAGATACATTTAATGATGTTGCAGTGGCAAACAGAAGCACTGAAACAATGAGAATGTGGAGGCAGATTTATTTTACGTCGGCAGGCATTGATTGAGATCATTGCCAAAATACCAGCCCCTGATCTCTGGTGGCCTGGGACTCACTTGGGTTAAGCATGCGTGAGGTACAGAGGCACATTTTCCGGAACTTTTCCTCCTTCTTTCAGTCTCCCCAGCAAGTCTTTGCTAGGTGTGTTCCACGTGCTCTTTTGAGACAAGGCTCAACTAGAAGCAGTTACATTAGAACTGTCAGTGGTCCGAGGGCGGGCCTCAGCCAAGCCCCTAAGACTGTCTTATTACAGAATTTTTTCCTAGGTTGTTTTTAGGAAGAGATATAATTAGATCCTTTTTCCTGGCAGTGTCTTGAAGGAGTTAATCTGATCTAGAGTGAATCTTGTTCAATTATTTGATTGATTGTTCTATTTTCTTGGGGCAACCGTCCATAGAGTTTAAAGCAAAAAGGAGGGCTAGCAGGAGACAGGGAGGCATGGACTGGGGTAAACAGAGTCCAGTCAATTAACAAAAACCATAGCTAACGGGGCGGCCAGGAAGGATGGACTGGGGCAAGCAGCCTAAAAAACAAAAATCAAGGGGAGTAAGTATGGAGCAATCCTGTGAATGATGTCCTCTGGCTCCAGATATAAGTGGACTGGTCAGCACTCAAAGTGACCAGAGGAGAGCTTTGAGTGCACTGTGTCTTCAGAGTGAGCCTTGGAGGAGCTGTCCAGGTTTTGTCTTCTTTCAAATGCAACACCTAGAACACTGGCTAACACAAATCTTTATTGAAGACATCTAGGTTATGTACCTACAGTAGTGATTATTGTTACTATTGAAAACCAGAAAGGTTATCAAATAGGGATGACACCAATTAGAAGCACTTGGGAATTACGGAGCATAATTACAATTCCCCAGGAGAAGAGGAAAGAGACAGAAGCAAGCATCAGAAGAACCTGGAGAAAACTCTCTAGTTATTTAAGAGTCTAAGGTTGTGTGTCTGTGAAGTTACAATGCTGCACCTTTCATGACAACAAAGGTAGGTGTGGACCTCAACAAGACAGCCTGTGTAAAGTGACCTGTGACTCCGCGTGAAGCCTGAGAAGGCGACAACCCAAGAACCCAAGGAGGAAATGTAAAGCCCACCTTTCCCAAGCAGATGCTCACTGGAAGCTTCCTGCAGAGTCAGTCCTGCCCGCTTCTCCTGAGAGGGTCCCTGGTCACCAACCTGTGCTAAGCAGAGGATGGTAACTAATCCCACAGCGTGCCCTACAGTTCAGGGAATGGCATCACTTTTACTTTTTGATACCAGTAAATGCTTAAAGTGTCATACAGGCCAGTTATTTATTATTTGTCATTTTGACCATTTAAGTTCCTTACTTCAAGCCCATGGGAGTTTCTGAAAGGCTCCTGATAACAGAAAGAAGAGGGGAGAGGTGATAGATAGGTCATTTTTGTCCAGCTTACATGGCCTTGCACTTCACCACCCTACTGCTTTCTGAGGTGGCTCAGCTACCTGCCCTCAGCTGCCCGGTGAAGAGGGACATGTGTGCCCTTCTCGGCATATGCCAAGCAAACACATGTCTAGCACCCTAGTTCTTTATTCCAGATGTCAAAAAGACAGAATCCAAACCACCGAGCCAGGAGTCAGCTGACAAAATTCTATAGTTGCTTGGATCTTACTGTGTCACTCACAGTGGGAGGTGACCCAGACACCTTTTTGCCATGCCCTCTCCTCCTGTAAGCACAGAGCCTCAGCTATTTTAATATCATTTTACCAGATAAAATACTTGTTACTTTATGATTTCTGAACAGTAAGTAATTTATTAGAAATATAAAGATGTTCCAATATCTTGTCGGCTGCTGGGTTGTACATTCCTACAATCTCAGCACTCAGGCTGAGCCAGGAGGATTTCTGTGAGTTTGAGGCCAACCAAGGCTACATAAGCAAGTTCAAGTTCAACGTGCACTACATACTGCCTCAAAAAAATATTACAAATTGCCAATATTTTGTGGGGCAGTCTTGCATGAATAGTTATCTGTGCTGGTGAGTTATCTGAATTTTAATTTAAAGTGAGCATGCTGTGTTTTTGTTTACTTAATTGATAGCCCTACTTTTAATGCCACCTGTTAGGGTTTGGATCTAAAGTGTTTCACAAAAGTCTCCTGCTTTCAGATTGGGGTTCTGGAAGGTCACTGGATCACAGGGCACTGTACGCATGAGCGGGTTTATCTCTGGATGAGTTCTGGGCTGGATATGCTGTTAGGTGGTGGGGCCTGATGGGGGAGGTCCATGGGAATGACACAGAATGATGTATCCTTGTCCCCAGTTCCTCCCTCTCTTTCTCTGCTTCTTGGCTGCCATGGGGTGGACAGTTTTCTTCTGCCAGGGCCTTGTTTCTGCTTTACAGCCAGACAATCATGGGCCAAATCTTCTGAAATCATGAGCCAAATAAACCTCTTCTTTAATTTGTGACTGTCAACTATTTTGTCCCAGTATTGGGAAAGCAACAAATACAACTCCTCTCCCACTATTTTCTGTTTCTATAACAAAGGGCCCCCAGCAGGGCTTATTCACAGTTTTGAAGGTTGGAAGCCCAAGACTTACGGCCTCATCTGTTTGTCCCTGATGAGGGTTTCCCTGGCTGGCTTACAGCTTGGCAGCAAAACAGGAAGGGGACAAGCGGCATGCAGAGGGGCCAAAGGCACGGGGTGTCCTTACTGGATAAAAACACTCTCTCCAGGGAGCTCAGAGGAATCCTCTGAGAAACACATTAATCTCTTTTGAGGGGGACACCTCACAACCTGATTATTTTGCAGGAGCCCAACCTCTTAAATGTTCCACCACCTCAAAATGGCCATGCTGAGGCTTTGCCTACACAGGACATTTGGGAGACAAACCATGACCAAGATAGCAAGGCCCGCGTTTTGGGTGGGGGAGAAAAGGTTTAGAGGCAGATGCAAGGATCCACCTCAGGACTGTGGCACCCAAGGCTTCCCAGCATGAAGTAACTCAGCGCGGAGGAGGGCACGGTCCAAGCAGCTCTTACTTCACACCGCGTGCCTTCTCAGCGTTGGGAGAACACCCTGTGCCTACCTCTTCAGTCACCAGAAGAAAATGGGCGGGAATCCACTGGTTAGAGACAAAACGTCAGAAGCACTTTATTTAAATAAACTTGAATCAGAAGTAAATCAGAGTTTTGGTCTAGTACTTTATTTAAATAAACTCGAATCAGAAGTAAACCAGCATTTTGGTTAATTTAGACCAGTTCTGTTGTGTGTTTGTGTGTAGCTTGCACACACGCGTTCCCACATAAAACGGCGACCCTCCTGGGTATCAGAACCCACTCACTGGGTGTGTTTGGTCTTCACGGCCCTTTCTGTGCGCTGTAGGACATCAATCAGAAGTCCTCCATCCTCGGTTCTTCTTGCAGAGTCCTAGATCAACTTCATTCACTCCCTGTTCAGTGTCCCCGAAGCAATGGCGCTCCAGCATGTGGGGAGGTCAGAGTCCACCAGGCCTCCGAGGTACACCTGACACCTGGGCGAGGCCTCAGTTCTCCAAGGTAAGAGGGTACGAGAACTTGGGTCTAGATGGGCCCCATAGGTGCAGGGCTACCCAGGCAACAACCCCCAGCAGCAAGAGGGCGAACAGGGACCCGAAAAGGATACCGAAGAATACATCAAGTTTCAAGCTCAGGTGCTCGCAGCGCTCGCCCCAGTATGTGTAGATGGAGAAAGTCAGGCAGCTGGAGATAGGGAGGGGCACGGTCAGTGGCCAGAAAGGGCTCAGACTCCCCGTATGTCCTCTGCTGCTGGGGCCAGGAAAATCTACCAGCACGTAGAGGGGCCGAGCTGGATATAGACCCCAGGCAAGGAGGAACGAGTGGTGTGAATTGCCGGGAGTCTGCTGCCCTTCCCAGACACAACTGCTCCAGCTGCACAGTCATAAACGCTGCCCTCAGTGCACACGTGAGAGAAGAGTCCAGCAGTCGAATCCCAGAAGTGCACATGCGCAGTTACAAAGCCCGCCCCAAGGGGCAAGCGTGCATGCGCAGTCGACAAGCCCGGCCCAACAGTACTGCGCAAGCGCAGTCACAAGCCCCGCCCAGCTGGCTGCAACTCAGCCCGCCCCCTCCTTTGACCCCCCATCTGGTGCCTAGGAGAGTGAGCGCGGCCAGAGGTCTCCTGGGAGCCTCTCAGCTGTTAATGCCTGGAGCGGGCTTAGAGGGCTGGGTCAGGCAGCCTACTCTGTGGCTTCCTTTCCCCCAAGGGGACAGCAGGGTGTTCTGCTGGTAACTTCCTGGGTGCCCTGGGCAGGTGGCTTAGCTGCAGCTTTCACACCTGCGGAGTGGCTACACACCATTTTGGGGCTCCTCATGAGAGCAGCTTCATTCTCCGCGCGCCCTCCTCCCCAAGCCCTCTCTCCTGTTCCCTAAAAGGAGCCACCTCCCACCTGCAGTGCGGCCCATCGGGCAGGTGCTGGCACCGGCCTCCGTGTTGACAGTAGCCCTCGCTGCATGGGGACACGCAGGTGACACCAATCTGGGGGCTGTAGACTAGGTGGTAGCCCTCATAACCGTTGCATTTGAAATACATGCTCAGGTTGCTCGTGTTCACTGTCAGGAAAGATAGAGTCACACGGAAAGCAGGTGATTAACAGTTTATAACCTCTCAATGCAGGATTCCACGCGGCGGGATTCATCCTGAGAAGTAACTGGAAGAGCGAGGGTGCACAGATACATTTTCCTGAGGGGAATCAGATGGGTGTGGTTGATGACAGCAACTGTGTTTTACAGGAGGGGATGTTGGCGACTAAGCTACTGTACATTCTTAGGAAGGGCATGACAGCTGCCTAGTATGGAAAATGTGTTAGTGAAATGGATAGAATCCATAGCAGAAGCTTTGAAGCTGGGCAGCCGCGAGAGAAGGTTTGAATTCTGCTACTAACTACTTTTTTAACTTAGGGAAAAAAACTCCTACTTTTCAGCCTCCATTTCCATATTTAAAATTAAATTATAACATTAGCACTTATGTAGATGTGAGATTTAAATGAGATACTGAAGAGCACTCAATAGTGACTGATATTGTAAGTGCTCAATATAGAATGACATCACGACATATTCAAAGTGTAAGACACTATATTCAGAAACATTATAGAATACAGCACCAGGGGATATGCATACAATATGTGAGGTATATGTCCACCATTATATAATGCAGAGCCTATCAAACATTAGATCCCCTAATTTAAAAAATCCATGTGTTGCCAAGCATAAAAGAAAGTTTAGGACTGGGCATAGTGGCACCTGCCTATAATGCCAGCATTTAGGAGGCTGAGGCAGTAAGATCGCCTTGAGTTTGTGGCCAGTTTGGGTTACCTAGTGAGTTCAAGGCTGCCCTGAACTATTCAGGGAGACCCTGTCTCAAAAAACAAACAAACAATAAAGACGAGGAAGAGGAAGAAAAAAAAAGGGGAGGAGGAGGAAGGAGGAGGAGGAAGTTGAGAAGACTATGTCCAATACAGTGTCTCTGGGAATTGAAATTACAGGGTTTTCTCTTGCTTTTTTAAACCTGTGTTTTCTAAAGTTTTTTGAGCTGCTCTAATAAAAACTGTGGGCTTTCACGAACATCTTAGGGCTGCTCCCTTATCCCCACCCCCATTCTCCTACACACAGAGGCGGAAGGAGCTGTGAGCCGGCCTCTAGAAGCAGCTCTTGCCTGTCCCGGGACCCACGCGGAAGGGCAGTTTCTGCTACCTTGGGAATGGTGTCTGTCCCACACATTCTCCGCCCCGTGCCTGGAAGTGATGGCAGCGGTGCGAACTGTTCCCTCCTCTCTCTCTCTCTCTCCCCATTCCTGGGTAACCAAGGGCTGTTAGAGCTGAAAGGGGCCTTGGAAACCCAGGTCAGTCCAGACTGGGTGTTGAGGCCTGGCTTGGGGGCTGTGTGTGCCCTTCCAGGAGGGCATCTCTGGCCCTGAACACTCCCCACTGTCCGTGTGGACACCCTGCAGCCAAGGGGCAGTGGTGGAAGGGATGTCATTGTGTGTGTCTAGTACAGTGACACTTTAAGAAAATTATGAAATCATCAGCAGTTCCTGGGTGAAATAATGACTTCAAACCCTCGGAACCCTTGTCCACCATGGGCTGTGTGGGTCAGCGATCTGTCACAGGCTTCCCCCATTTACGTGTCTCTCCCTCCCCCTTGCACAAGATTGAGTGACTCACGTGGAGCCTGGTTGTCCAACACATCTTCCCTGCTGATGGGCTGGAAGGTCACGTTGTTACGGGCCTCTGCGCTCCTCCTCCACCTCGCACTCCGTGCCTGGGGCAGGAAGGCGCTGACCACGGCGTCCAGGAGCTGCTCATTTAGGAAGTAGATGACAGGGCCACTGGGACGGTACTGGAACTCCGAGACCACCATCCAGTGCTGTACGGAGCGTCCCGAGGGCAGTGCTGTGGAGTGGCTGTGTGGGAGGGGACCAGTGAGCATCTCAGGTGGCCAGGGAGGGGCTGGGTGGAGACCCAGGAGCTGGAAAGAGACAGTCACACGCCCTCACCTGCGTTCCACGTGGCTGTTCCGGAGAAATGCCCGTATGTTCAGGTGCTGCAGCTTGTATGCCACCTGGGAGGGAGGACAGCAGAAAGGGTGCGGAGGCAGTGAGGCCCCGAGGGAGACCGCCACTCGCCTGGTCCTACACATGTTCATCCCTGTCCAGGTCACCTTTCCATAAAAGCCCATTTCCCCACTTGACTCCAGGTGGGCCAAGGACTGGCCCGAGTCCTGGCTCAGTCAGGACTTGGTGGGCAATGAGCAGGCTTTACACCCTTCCCTCTCTCTGGCTTCACACTGCAAGGGAAGAATCTGAGATGGGCTTGGCAGTGCGTGCCTGTGATCCCAGCACTTGGGGAGGCTGAGGCGGGAAGATCTGCAAGTTTAAACCCAGCCTGGGTAACTCAGTGGCTTAGAAACACCCTGTTTCAAAGTAAGAAATTATAAAAAGGACTGAAGATGTAGTTCAGTGCCAAGACCCTGGGTTCAACCCTCAGTACTACCAAGAAGGGGACATTTGATCCTCTGTCCCCCTCCACCCATGTGTGTTCACAATCAGTTTAGCTGGACCTTGGAGTGCTGGGTTGTCAAGGCGACTCAGGAGTGGTTTGTGCTTTAGGAGGCCACAGTCAGGTGCAGTGGATCAAGGTCAACAATTTCTACCACTGAGTGTGTGGAGTGCTATGGTAGTTGGGATAGTAACACTAACAATTTTTGTCTTGTTTTTCTGAGACAGGCCCTCATTAGGCTGGCCTCAAACTCAGAAATCTTCTTGCCTCAGCCTCCTAAGTGCTGAGATTACATGCATATGTCACCGTACCTGTAACTTTTGAATTATTATAGACATATGTTTTGGGCACTATGCTAAATGCTTTGTCCACATTATTATTTAAACCTGAACTCAACTTTTTGACATAGATAGAATTATTAATACTATTTTTAAATATGAGCCACTAACTTGTCTAACTTTTCTTTTAAAAAAAAACTTTCCTTCTTTCTTTCCTGGTTTTTATTTTTTATTTTATTTTTTATTTTTTTTGAGTACAAAGGATAGAACTCAGGGAACCCTGAGCTGTACTTCCAACCCTTTTTATTTTTAAGTTTTGAGGCAGGGTCTTGTTATGTTGTCCGGGCTGGCCTTTAATTAGGGAACCTCCATTTTTAGCCTCCACAGCTTTAGGGACCCCCCATGTGCACCACTGTGCCCAGCTGCTTGTGTGATGGTCATGCAACTCTAGCAGGTGGCAGCAGGGATTTGAACCCTGTGTACATTAGAGCCTCAGCTGTGTTGCCTGTGATCAAAGTGTGGACAGGGCCTGGGAGATGAGAGGAGGGACCCTCAGGTCCCCAGGGAAGTCAGAGAGCAGGCAAAGTGTCCTGGGTGTTTCTCTCATACCACACCCCAAAGCTCAGAACTCAGGGGACAGGTGACATGGATCCTTAGTTTCTGCCAACAGTGACTGGTGAGTCTAACCCCTCCCAGGGTGTCTCTCCTGAAGCTTCCTCATCCCCGTCCCCATCTTCCCTGCACAAGAGGTTCTACCCCTGACCTGAACCCAGCTGAGGACTCGGGAGTGACAGCCCGGCCCTCACCAGACCCCGCTGAGACCCATGGCCACCAGCACTGACCGAGGCATTCACATCTTCCTTCGTGGCATTTTCCTCCTCACAGAGTGACAGCAGGATGGACCTCATGGGAAGCTCTGGAGGTGGAGGAAGCAGGTCTGTCATCCCCAGACACCCAGACTTAGCCCTGAGGTCCCTTAGACCCGCCCAGGATGATGGCTCCACTCCACAATGACAGAGGTCATCAGAGACACTGCAAGTAGCCAGGTCTCCAGTCACACCCTAGGGCTCCATCTGTGACCCCATATCCCAGACCTGCGAGGCCACTGTCCTCAGCAGGCCACACAGGCCTGCACTGTGACAGCTACCATCATGAATTCCCATGGCTCCAGCTTACCCACACAGAACAAACTCAGTCTGAGGAGCTCAGCCCTGTGCCTCAAGTCCGCCAGCTTCCCCCAGGATAGCCAGATGGACATCTGCTCGTACCTCCAAGGATGGAGGGAACAAAAGTGTTCCCTGCCAGGAAGCAGCGGGCGTCTGTGAAGGCTGGGGCACAGGTACAAGTGGGCTGGCAGCCCTGAGTCAAGGACAAGTAGCAGTGGCCGTGGTTGTAGCAGTAATCCATGGGGCAGGACTCATTCTGACAGAGGAGGGCTGCAGAGGAGGCAAGGATCAGCAGTCCCTCCGAGTCATCAGACAGGGTCCCAAGGGCACCTGTTCCCGGGACTTCTTGGTTTCTTCTCCCCATGCCTGCTCAATCTGTGTTTGGCTTGCAGGCCATTCTGAATCCAAACTGTCCTCCTCCCCATTTCTTTGTCAGGCAACCCATCTTCCTTTGCCAGCTAGGTATTGTTTCACTTCAGCAGGAGTGGACTAGTTTTTTGTTTTGGTTTTTTGAAACAGGCTCTCGCTAGTTCAGGCTGGAGCCCAGATCAGCCTTGAACATGTGGCAATCCTCCTGCCTCAGCCTCCTGAGTGCTGGAATTCCATCACCTTATCCAAACCATCCTCCTCTCCAGGCTTCCTAGAGCAAGCATTCCACAGACTTGCAGGGAAAAGGAGGCAAAGTGCTGGCCTGTGGCTACCTTCAGTTCTTGAGGTGTCACGGGCCCCAGCCCCCTTCTAGGCCTGCTCCTGGCTTACCTGCACAATGCCTGCCGTCCCCAGTCATGTCCTGGGGGCAGGCCCCGCAGCCCTTCCCAGGGGTACACTGCACATTCGGGAAGCACTGCTCATCACAGAGGTTCTTGAAATGCTCACAGTGGCGGCCAAAGGTGTCCTTGTTGCACTGGCAGCTGGCCTCCTGGAACAGGGTGGTCAGAAAGGTAAACCCTTAAGGTTTCCAGCTCTCATCAGCGACTTCTCTGATGTGAGAGCCATAGGCTCTGAGTTCTGTTTCAGACATAGTTTTCGTTTTGTTTCAGACATAGTTTTGTTATGCAGTGCAGGCCGGCCTCAAACTCACTATTAGCCCAGACTGGCCTGGAACTGGAAGCAGTCCCCCTGCCTCAGCCTCCTGAGTGCCAGGATTATAGGCGTGCTCCATTCGCCTCAGTTCTGCCAGCATCTCCTGAACACCTCAGTCCCTGCCATGCGTCCCTCTGCCTGGCCGGTGTCCCTGGCCCTGGCTTGACACTGCAGCAGGCTTGCAGCCTTGTGCTTCTCACACACATCTCCTTCCTTGTGACCCTTGACGGAGTGAGATGGGGAGGAGGGAGGAGGGAGGCAGAAAGCAGGCAGGGCTGGATCGCAGATCGGGCCAGACATCTGGCTTTAACCTTAGACAGAAAAGATTTTCTCTAAATTAAAGAAGAGGTGCTTCCGTAAGCTGGGGAGAGAGAGTGAAAGAGAAAACAAAGGGGTTTGGGTGCTTAAGCAGAGGGACTTGTACCCTCTTCCCATCACCATGGCGTGTTGTTCTGATCAGACAGGGTGCAGATGGCCATTGCTGATAGCTTCTGGCCTGAGCCCAGGACAGCACAGGGCAGCTGGCGTGGAGGCCGATGTGGACCCCTGCTAGGGAGCAGAGACTTTCCCACCCCATTTGGTGCCCTGTACTGGGCACCCCAGGACGGACTGAGGTAGGTGTTTCTGACTAGGCAGAACAGGCGCAGGACACAGACAGCTGAGTGCCTAGCGTTCAGAAAGTTCTGCTTCTTCACACTTGACTCTGTGGCCCTGCCATACACTGTCCACCTTTCTGTGCCCTTTCCTCCTCTGCACAGAAAACACCCACCCCTTACCTCCATGGATGAATGGCCCACACGACGGGTCTGGTTGTACAGACACTGACTGGTTGCATTGCAAAAGCAGGCCACCATCTTGGGCTGGAGGACAGATGACAAACCGGTCTGGGCGTCTCGAGCTAGAATCTCCAGGGTGACTGGCTCTGGCGACTTTGGTGTCCATTGCAAAATCCCGTTCTCTGTGTGGGGAAGAGGAGGTGGTCAGGGGCTGAGAGACCCCTCTGCCCTGTGGGCTGATGCAGCCTGGTATCTAACTCCAGATGGCTGATGCTGGGGGGTTCCCTCTCCCAGATCACCCCCAGGCTTCATCAGATGTTTCTTTGAGCCAGGCTGGAATTGTGAGGTGACGAGGGCCTTGCCCCAAGGGAGAGAGGCAGTGCCAGCCCTCCTCACCGCCTGCAAGAGGAACCCCACAAAAGGAAACCCATTTGCCCCTCAGAGCCCCCTGGTTGAGCCTGGGTCACAATAGGGTGGCTTGGGGACATGCTGGAGTCAAAGGCCAGGATGCTTCTGAAACTTCCCTGGACTACACTGCAGCCAAACGGAATTCACCCCAGGAGTCCCCCCAGCCCTTTCTTCTCCTGGGCCTTTGACCAGCTGCTCCCTCAGACACCAACCTGGAGGGAAACCCTGCTGGATGTCTCTCATCAACCTGGGTTATGCCTTTCCAGAACGGAGGAAATTTGTTTTAAAAACAGGTTAGGTGCCATTCATGAACTAGGGGAGAGAGAACAACGGCTGTACCAGCATACAAGCTCAGTCTGGGAACCAGTGCCATGTGTAGGCCGCTGCTGGACTGGGAACAGGGAGACCCCAGCCCCTTCCAGCACGCAGGCTGGCAAACAAGAAGTACCCCTCCCCCTCCCCCACATCCCCAGACGGGATGGGCTTATCCAGAGAAACACAGGCTGTGATGATAGCTATGGAAGTGAATTGGATGCCTGTGGTGCTCTGGTATCTTTTTCATTTTTTTGTCTTTTTCATTTTTATCAGTACCGGGAATCGAACTCACGACCGCCTGCTTGCAAGGCAGGCGCTTATGCCGCTGAGCTAAACCCCCAGCCCTGGTGCTCTGATGTCTTACTAACATTGGAAGTCTAGGGCCAGTGGTCTGATCATGGGCTCAGAGAATAGCGGTACGCAGTGTGGCATCTAGGGAGGATTTCCTTCTGAAGGGTGTAGCTATGGTTGACTCCTTATAGTCTTGTTTTGAGGTCCTATATCATTTCCATTATCTTACTGTGTTGGGTTTTATTCTTTTTTGTTTTGTTTGATTATGTCAAATCTGAGGAACAGCTATTTCAAAGACAGCAAGACATATTATGGTAGCAATTTTGGATTTACTATTGGCTTGTTTGAATTTCTTTATTGCATTCATTATTTTGTTTTTTAATTGTTTATTTCTATTCTGTTCTGTTTGATTTTTACTATATCAGAAGTTATCTGCAGCTGCTTTGAAGACATCAAAAGGCATGATGGTAACTATGCTGATTTCATAATATTTTGAAGTCCTGTATCTCTTACACTGGCTTATTTTGATTGGTTTTATTCTGCTTTATACTCTTTGAAATAAAAAAAATTTAAACAGCAGGTTAGAAGGATCTGACAGTATAGGAGAGATGGGAGTAACTTCCAGGTCACCACGCCACAGCGGAGAAGCATCCTGTAATGACACTGTCTTGTGCCAGGGCAGATGCTGCACGGAGTAAGAGGGGCCAAGACCAAACAGTCTCTTATGTGCTGAGAAAGACAGCGAGGCAGAGAGGTGATCATCCCTGAGGGCTTGGGGTAAGCAAAGAACACAGCAGAAGAAAAGCCACAGCCCTGTGCTTTGTCCCGTTGTCCTGGCCACCCATGCTACCCTGAGGGTTCCTAACGCCCTTACTCACAAGCTTCCTAGCACAGAAAATCAGACCAGAGACCAAGCCAGGCAACATGGCTAATTACAAAGACAGCGAGAAAGAACCCAAGTGAGGATGTTTGTATTTCCTGTTGTAAATGAGCATTTTTTTTTAACTGTTGCCCTTGATTATTTAACATTCTAATAATTTGGTGAGGGCATAATGATGATTAAATGCATCATTTTATCAGGTGGAGATAAATGATACTTGAATCAGTTATGTGTGCCCAGAGTCAGTCTTGCATCTAGCCACATCTTGGAAGGCCTGGCGCTACTGCCCCCAGAAGGACACTATTGGGACTGCCGGTGTTACTTAGGAAACGCTGGTTCTGCACAGTCACAGGAAAAGGGATGGGAAATTGTGCAGACTCCGTTTTTTATATACACTGTCCCATCCCAGCCCAAGTTCCTACCAAAGAGCTGGAAGGAGCTGTGGTTCCCTTGGAGCATGAAGGTGACATTCGCAGAGTTGCTGGTGCACTGAAATCTTGACGTATGGTCCTTGTAGGCTCTGATCACATGGCAGCCACTAATGGAGGGCGGGAACTGATCTGAAGCAGAGGAGACCGGATCTGAGGCAGGCTGCCACCCGCCTGCCCTCTGGCCTCTCTTTCCCTGACTTGTACGAGGTGTTCCTGGGCCAGAGACCCACCCCCGGGAGCCAGAGGGAGCCTGTGTCCCTGTTCTTAGGTCCATGCAGAGCAGCTCGGCCTTGTACTGGCCAACTGCTTAAATCTTCAGCTTCTCTTTCTCTGCCCCCTGCTCTAACATTCACACATTTCACATTCTTTCCTCAACGGGAGGCCAAGCTGGACCTGGCACAAAGAGAATCCGGGAACTGAGTTGTTCAGAGCATCACCTTTTGCCCTTGAGAAAGGGCTGAAGGTCATGGGGACATCTATATGGACTCTTGTGGGAGCCAGCACTGAAGATACACGCACTCTGCGAGTAGGCTGAGAGCTCTGCAGACAGAGTGTGGCTGACTGGCAGGGAGGCCGCAGCCTTGGAGCCCAGGATGGAACCAAATGTTCTGTGCTGTTCCCAGGCTGTCCCCAGTATCTTCAGCTGTCTCCAGTGCAATCAGTCAAATGAGCATACACTTCCCTTAAACCATCTTTTAAACCCCTTTCTCATAAAATGCCTTTCATGCTCTTTTAGATTAAAACGGCTTTGCTCTCATTGGGTGTTTAAGACAGCATGTGCCTTTAGTAAACAGAGCGATCATCAGCCCTCTCCTCCTGTCCTGTCACGAGTCTTTCTGCTTTTCTTGTCGCACAAGTCAATGGAGATCACTGCTGTCATCCTCAGTGCTGACTGAGGAAGCCCCAGGATTGATTGGGGAAACAGAGGCAGTCAGACCTTCCCAATGGTCAGGATTTTTGGAGCCTTACTTTATCTTCTCATTAGTAATCAGTTGGCCAACACCTACGGTGTAGGAGCCCACTTAAGGATATGGCATCAAATAAGGAATAAAAAAGAGACCAAATGTAAAAAATACAGATGACATTTGACTTTTAAAAATCACAAAAAAATGGGGGGCCAAGGATATAGCTCAGTGGCACAGCACCTGCCTGGCAAGTGTGAGGTTTTGAGTTCAATTCCTGGTACCAAAATAAAAAAGCAATCACAGTAAAGGACACATTGCCCTGAATCCCTCTCAGCATGGCTTCCCTCACGTCACACACGTTTATCCCGGCATTCTTGCCACTTTCTGAAGCAGCTCTGGAAGTTCCCTTTCATGAGCACCTCTGGCTGTGCGATCCTGGCTATTGCAACATCCTGAAGAGATTCAAAGGGTTTCCCTTCCCTGCCTTTCTGCTGGAGGCCACTCAGCTGCAGTCACTGTGTTTGTGATCACACTGTGAAAAACCACTCATGAAAGAAATTTCAGAACTGCTTCTGAAAGAGGAGAGAGAGAGAGACAGAGAGAGACAGAGAGACCCTGCTGCAGCTGTGGAGCCAGGGCCTTCCCACAGGAGAGCAGCTTGTGCCATGGCTCAGACTCACCAGAGAAGCTCAGGTGTAAGGACCCTGAAGAGGTAGGGGCAGCGGAGCAGAGGTGCTGGGCAAAGAGGCCAAGGGGCCGCGTCAGGGCAGGAGGCCCCTGCGAGGCTGGGTGAGCTGGGCATCACGCCCAGGTTTGGGGCTGGCAGTTGATGGGTGAAAGGAGTGAAGGTGGAGGTAACGGGGGCTGTAGGAGGGGTGGCCCCTCTGGGGTACCACATACTGAGGGTGGCGTTCATCCGCTGGTACGCTGTGAAGAGGCTCCTGGTGTGGAGGCCTGTGCGGATGTCTCCAGTGGCCATCGTGTCGTAGATGCACTGTCTGACCCCGTCACATCTGGAGACCAGGGTATGGTTTGCCGACAGTTGGGAGAAGAAGACCGGGGTGAAGCTGGAAGGCAGCGGGTCACTTTGGCTGCCAAGGAGGCCTGTTCCGTTGAGGGCCCCTGGAATGCACGGGTGGGATGGTGGCTGTGGGACTCCAGCCGCGTGTCCCCCCTCTGGCTCTAGCCTGGAAGTGGAGGACAGAATGGCTTCCAGCTTCCGAGTCTGGAAACCCTGCTCAATGAGCAAGGGCCACCTATGTCCCTGTCTTCTCTTTCCAGCACAGATTGTGCAAGGGGAGTGGAGAGGCACAGACTTGGGGTGGCCTCACCTGAAGGCTTGAGGGACACACATGGCAACCCCCCCACTGGGTGCCCACACTCACAGGTCATCCCGTAGTGGAAAAGCATCTCCTCTGAGTCAGTGAAAACAGAGGAGCCATTGGGCATCCTGAAGTCGTCTTCTGGGTTATCATTCCAGACTCCTGAGGGACACAGCAGGGAAGTTGGCCACCTCAGGAAGCTGGCCATCCCCTGCCTGGGTTCTGGCCCCCTGCTCCAGGGAGGGAGGAGGAGGCAGGAAGGATTTGCTCCCCAGAGCCATCCTGAATACTCCCTCAGAGTGGCAAGGGACAGGAAGTGACCTCAGAAGTGGCTGGAGCAGCCCCTGTCCCTTCCCTGCTGGCTGCACATCCTAAATCCTGAGCACTGTCAGGAAGGCCCCATAGAGGGTGTCTGAGTGCCTGTCCCTCACCTAGAAGGCCCTCGGTGCGGTTCCGGTACTCCTGCGGGAGGCTGGCCGTGGCGTGCAAGATGTTGGAGAGAACAGTCACCGAGATGGTCACCGTGCTGTCAAAGCTGGCTGAGACCAGGGAGCCATTGCGGGTCAGCAGGACTCCGGTGGCACTGAAAGTTTCTGCGCCTAGGGGGACAGCGAGGCAAGTGATGAAGCAGCCTGCACCATCACCCTGGTCTCAAGATATAGAGGGGACGCTGGGATGGCCTGATGGTGCCTTGTGTAGTGGCCCAAAACCAAACCCTCAAGACCACCCTTGAGTTCCTTCTTCCTGGGGACAGAAGCGAGGGGAGGAGGGAAAGAAGGAGGCACAGAAGGAGAAGAGTTTAATGCCCTGCATTCAAAGGGCATCCCAGGCCCAGTTGAAGAAGGGACAGACGGGTGATGGCTCTGCTCTGCCCACCTCCATGTCCCAACGTCCACTCCCAGGCACTAAGCACCCCGCTGAGCCCCACCCTGGTGACGCAGGGGAAGGTGGCAGCCGGCTCTCTGCAGCCCACCTTCAGCATCTTCCCGGCTGGTCTCAAACGTCACAGTCTTGTTATTGTGAAAAACGTGGACCGTGTCGTTGGGCTCCAGGAGAAACTGGACCTGGATGGGAAGTGGGAGGAGGCCTCAGCCCGGTCACCAGGTGGAGCAGAGGCCCTGGGCTTTGCTCCAGAGGCTCTGCTGGCAGGATGTGTGCTCTCTCCCTCTCCCCTCTTTGTATTCCTCCTCCTCTTGGGCCTCAGTGTCCACTGGCCAGGGGTCACTGAGAGGTTGTCCTGGGGACACAGGGTACAGGGACATCCTGGGTGTCCCCAGGCTCACTGTGATGGGGGCTAGGCCGCTGGCGTTGTACTGAGCAGCAAAGGAAATGAAGTTAGTGGCGTTGGCGGAGCCGGTCTGGGCAGTGCGGCCCTGGAGCAGGAAGGAGGAGTTGCTGTCCTGGGCACGGACCAGCAGGAAGTCCCCCAGCCCATTGAAGGTAAAGTTGGCACCGTCCAAGGTGAAGATGTGGGGGTCCCCAAACATCCAGGCTGGAGGAGAGCAGGTGATACATTAGCAGACCACAGCTGAGGTGAGGTTCCCCCTGCCCCCAGATGGGCACCTGTGCAGCTAGATCAAGATGCTCATGGGTCGAGAATCCACCCCTAAACCCTTGCATCTGTGGGGCCCTACCCCAGCCTCGTGCCATCAGTCCCACACTGAAACTGTCCTCCCTTCCTGTGGGGTCACAGCTCTGGCCCTGTCTCTGGTCCTGTCATGGTCCCCGCTCCATGTCCAAAGGCCAAGAGTCTCCCTGTCCCCTCACCGGGCCGAGGGGGCCTGTAGGTGGCGCAGCCGACGTGGGGCGACCGTGCCTGGTACAAGGTGCAGAAGGAGGGCTTGTCATTCCAGCGGCAGCACCAGTGCTGCGTCTCCAGTTCCCAGACTGTGGAGAGGAAGAGCGGGCTGGAGGGTAGGGCCTGGAGAGCAGCCTGAGGGGTCAGTGGGCCAAGATGGCACGGGTGTCATGAACATGGCTCTGGAATGGTTTTGGAATGGGGCACAAGGCAGTTCCCGCCGCGCCTTCATCAGTGACCTCTGCCACGGAGCAGGTGCTGCTTTCTCTGCAGGTGTTTAGGATCATACCATATCTAGGGACATGGTGAGAGCTGAACGATCCCCGAGTGTCGAGAACATGGCCAGGGCATGGGGAGACAGAGACTGTGTGGCATAGGTAGGAGACTGTGTATCTCCTGTCCCCACACCTCTGGGCTCTTTTGCTTCTCTACTGTCTCCCACAGGGAGTTAAAGCCAAGCCTTCCCTCAAACAGCCTGGTACTGTGGTCCAGAGGAACAAGGGCAGACTAGGGCCTTCCTCCTATCCTGGAAAGATGTCCCCGCTCATGGGCAGGTGTGGCACACACTCCTATAAGCTCAGCACTCGAGAGGCTAAAGCAGGAGAGTTGCCATGAGTTCAAGGGCAGCCTGAACTGCATGACAAGACCCTGTCTAGAAGAAAGGCCGCAGCCAAGCTCTTTGGACTCACTTACCCAGCTGCTCTGGGCTCCGCACGCTCCAGCCTTCCTGAAACTCCCCCCAAGGCCCATAGCTGCAGCAGACGCCACCCAGCCGGGAGGAGAAGCTACACAGGTACCGGCCACGGACACCCCACCTGCCTGCAAGGGGACCACACAAGCTTACCCCAAGGCAGGGATACCTTGGAGGGCGGGATGGGCAGGGCATGTCCCTGGGGTGGGGAGCGAGGCCTGGGAAGGGTGGGCCCCAGCAGAGGGGACGGGGGACAGGCTTGAAGATTTCACCTAGGCTGAGGGGCCGGAACCGCAAGTCCCATCTTCCCTGTTGCCAGGAGCACGGGCAGAAGAGCAGCCTTGAGGTCCAGCTGGGCCGCAGGCTGCTCAGCCGCTGCAGGCACCTGAGGCGGAAGTTGGGCTTCTCCTCCTTATGCAGCTTATAGACCTGCAGCCCCCGGATGCCTGGAAAGAAAGGGGTGCAGGGCTCAACCTGGGGCTTTTGGGTCCCCAGAACTCACAGCTGCATCTGCACAGCTCCCACCTCTCTGGACTGCTATTCTTGAAGGGCACAATTCAGACCCGCGGGGATTCTCCCCAAGCCCTCAGACCTGAGCTCCAAAGCCCTCACAGGGTTGACGTTGGGGCATAACCCTGGGGCCAAGGCAGGGCAGGGAAGCCTCGCCCAGATCCAGTATAAGCCACGCCATGGTGTGGCCAACCCACCTCCCCTCCATCCTCTCTCCAAGCCAACACTGCTCCCTGCCACCAGTTCCTTGGCATCAGACCCTGTATCTCAGCCTGGGACACCACCACTTGCTGGCCATCCCATCACACCCTCTCCCAGCCCAGATGGCCCAGTGGCCAAAGCACAGGACAGAGTGGATGACTTGGAGGCCACCGAAAAGTGGGCATGCGAGGCAGGGGCTGCTCCAATCCCATAAAGCTGAAGAGGCGACTTCCGGGCCCTGGTGCCATCTTTGGCCAGGGTGATGACTCCAGACCTTTAACTCCCTGAAGTCAGGGCTGGCCCAAAAAGACAGACTAGGGTACAGTGTACGACTGTGTCCACCCAGATGCAGAATCAGTCAAGAGAACAGTTCATCAAGACTTTGAGATGAATATTCATCGTTCCCGGTGACATGTATAATGTGGGTACGTACCCACACAGAGGACAGACACCTCTAAGTCACAAGCAGAGCCGACTTGAAGGAAGGACCCTCAGATATCAGTCCCTTCCGTGAGCACCATGCCTGACTCGGCTTAGGGTTCCGATGTGAACAGATCTGGAGAGTGACTCCAACATTCACGGACCCGGAGCCCATCTTTTGCTCTCTTGGATTCAGACTCCAGGCTCTTTGAGAGCAAACATGCTGATCTCTTTTCCTTTTTTTTTTTTTTTCTTTTACACTTTTCTCATTGTTAGCACAGTGTTGAGAACACGGCAAGTGCTCTGTGACTGTTGAATGAATGTCAGGCCCTGGAACCTCACTTGGAAGGGAGAGGTGGCTCTGCGCCTGAAGGCGTAGGCGGCACTTGCTGCTCCTGGCAGGCAGCCTCTGATTTCCTGTCCACCTCAGGCAGTGTGGGGTCACATTTCAGGACCGGTGGGTCAGGGACCTGCTGTCCAGGACTGCCACAGTGGAAAGAGAAGGCGAGGCAGCAAAGGTGGCAGTGGGGCTTTTACCTAATTTGGGATCCAGGAACTGGTCTGGACGATACTTCTCCCACAGTGGCCTGGACATCAGCGGGCTGTTCTCAAAGTAGCCATCCCCGCTGCAGGCAGAGGAAAGATTCAGGCCCTGTCATGCCCTGGTCAGTCAGTGGAGAGGTCCTGCCTAACTGCACACCCCATCTCTGGTTGCAAGGACCCAGAGGCTCCACTTAGTCAGGGCACCGGGTATGGAATAGAGTTCAGGTCTCTTTCCTGTCTGTTTTCCTTAAACTAGGGATGGAGAGGGCACCGCACACTGCAACAGCTCCAAGCTGGTCCCTGGAGGTCATAGATCCACCTCCTAATTCCAGCTTGAAGATCACAAGCAAGTTACTCCCTTTTTTATTGTCTTTTTGAGACAGGGTCTCACTGTGCAGTTCAGACTGGCCTTGAGCTCAATCTGTAGCCCAGGCTGGTCTCTAACTCAAAAAAGTCCTCCTGCCTCAGCCTCTTGAAGCTGGGATTAAAAGCATACACAACCATGCCTGGCTAAATTACTTTTCTAAATAAGAAAGTGTACAGAGAGGTTTCAGTAGCATCTACCTCACAGCATGGTGAGGATTCGGCACAGTGACCCTTTTAAGTCTCTCAGAACTGAGTGGGGACTTGATACAATGGCATTACCAGACCACAAATGAGAGCAATGGGAAGTGGGCTGAGTGGGTGGGGTCACCCTTGTCACAGGATGGCAGTGAGCTCAGCAAGCCGCACCTCCCTGTCACCTGCTCAGAGCGCCTGGCTGTGTCCCTCCTACCTGGAGAAGCCCATGAGGACAGAACTGTTGCCCTGGTGCTGAGCCACATCCCACTTCATTTCTCCACTCTGGTACAGAAACAGGGCATAGGATCTGCTGCCGTCCGTGGAGAGGATGGCTTGGTAGGTGTTGGTCTGGGGGTGGAGGGGGACATGAGACATGAGGGTGCCTATGAGACATCTGGGGTCTCCTCCCCAATGTCTACCCGCCTGGCTCCCAGCACTGACACCACACATGTCACTTGTCTATGTCAAACAAAGGCATGGCTGGAAGTGCTAGCAAGTCTGCAGTGAGTTAGGGCAGCACCTGCTTGGGTGTTGAAGCACATACCATGTTGATTGGCCTTCTATGTGGCTATTTCCAAGGAGAGCAAACACAGGGCTCTGGGTTGCAATCCAAGTAGAAGAGATTTGGAAGAGAAAACTTTGGAATGAGCCATAGAACGAGACACCAGCTCTGGGAGAGCTCATGTCAGCTCCCTCAGGGATATTCAAGGGCATGGTCCAGTTCTCCCCGCCATGTGGACGGTGTAGGGGACCTGCAGGAGGAGCTGGGGGTGCTCCCAAGGCACGTGCCTTGGGCAAAGTGGGTAAGAGAGGTGATCACCACACAGAGGTTGTGTGGCAACACTATTTTGGAACCAGGGTGTAGGGTTCGGAAAACCTCAGTCCCAGGCTTGGCTTTGTCATTTGCTAACTGAGTGATCAGATTTTACCTCTGCAGCCATTGTTTCCTCCTGTCTAACACGTGGACGATCACATCAGGTTGGCCCAGCTACGGACTAAACATGGTGTGTGTCCTCTACAAGGTGTGGCCCTCACATAGTGGTGCTGAGACTAGTGGAGATTTAAGAGGTGGGATCTGGGGTGTCCTTAGATAAAGATATCTGGGGATACCGGGGATTCTCATGTGATGTGAGACCACTGTTGGTGGTCTTTGCCAAGCCTGAACCATGGTGTTTAGACTGTAGGTTAAGGAAACATCTTCTTCACAAGTAGCTGGTTTTAGGTATGTTGTTATAGTAACAAAAGCTGACTAATATAAGCCATATGAAATCACTAGTAGACAGATGCTGCACCACAAAAGCCATTTCCTGCTCCTGGTAGGCCAGGTTTCCATATAGTCTGGTAGATAGCTGGGGAAGGCCAGCCTGGGCCACTGTGCATGCTCAGCAAAATGGGTCGCCCTGGGGACTGCCTTACGGGTGCCTAGCAACTTTGCTGGAGTCAGGAGGATTCTAGCAGAGAAGCCTCCTCTAGCTACTTATGCTGCCTGGTCTTACTTCTGGGGAGCTGTCCGTGGTATACTCACCCCAGAGGTCTGCTGAGCAGGGTAGGCAGAGACACGGACCCATGTGACCTTTAGGGTCCACTTGGCTTTGTAGCTCCCGGAATCTGTGAACTTTTCAATCGAAGTCTCCACCTGCCGGACTAGTGGGTGGTCTTCATTGTAGAATGTCTCATATTCCTAGAAAAGGAAGGCAGATAAGAGCAAGGGTCCTCATCAGCTGTGAGGGATTCCCCCACTTTCTGCTTGGAAACCTGCTCATTTTAAAGCCCTCATGCCTCCATCCTTCCTGTCTTAGGCCTCTTCTGGCCTTAAGGTCTGTTCAAACTCAGGCTGTAGGAGAACCTGGGGGTGGCAGAACTGGGGTTGGGGGTGAGTCTTCGGCCTGCATATCCAAGGCCTGTGAGCTTGAACTCATGCATCTCCTAGCTCCAAGGGGTTCAGACACCACGGCCAGCATGACTAGCATTATCTCCTATGTCACTTGGTGGTTCCTTGAGGGTCAGTGTGTGTCCCTCCATCTTCAGAGCCTGTGCTTGTGGTTGTGGCACAAACATGTCTGCCTCCGGGGCCTTCATTACCTGCATCCACTGGCTGGGATTATGATCCGGTCCCGGAGCACAGCACAGACCTTGCTTGACTCTGTGGGTGTGCCCCGATACAGAGTATTCCAAAGGCTAACACTGAATGTCTAAGCCCCATCCTGGCCACCTCAGGTCTTCATGTGGTCAAGGTAGGATGTTCGCATTCCTCCTCGGCTTCCTCCTGGCCCCCGTGTTTCAGCTCCAGTCCCTGCCCACACAGCTCAGGCAGGGACAGAGGAACACCCTGGGTCACTCCATACCGCCCTTTGTCTCTTCGGGCAGGCTGCTGAGCACCTGGGCTTTGGAAGGCCCACCTGGTAAAAGATGTTGCCAGTCTGACGGGAGAAGTCAGCATCATCCCAGAAGGGAGCCACAGTGGCTGCAGTGTTCCATCCGTTGAACCCCCCTGAGGGCGGGTTAGGATACGGGAAGATCTGGTAGTCTGACTCGGGGAAAAAGATCTGGCCATTATCTGTGAACTGAGCACCGGGGTTCTGGGTTAGTATTCAGGGAGGGAGGAGGTGAGATACCCCAGCTTTGGGCCAGCCCCACAAGACCTCTCTGAGAAGAAAATCAGAGATGTCAACAATCCCTGGAAGATCACCTCACCCCATTTATGTCCTTTCTTCACATAGTGACCTCACACATCCTCTTCCTTCTGAAGACATTCCTCAATGCTAAAGGCACCAGCTGTGTCTTGCCTCACACAGCTGTGGCCCAGCCTTTCACAGAGGGGTGAAGTCCCTCAGACTCATCCCGATGCCTGTGACCCAACCAATGGAGCTAAGAGAATAACATCCCCAGTCCCATTGTGGTGTTGGCCTCTCACTATGTGTTCTGCTAAGTTCCTGCCCTGAGGGAAACAGATCACAATGTTCCAAGTGTACTGTGGGACTTATGGTCCAGAGAACGAAGAAGTAATCCTAGAATACAGAAATGGCACCAAGTCATGTTTCCCTGGTATAGCTTCTTACTCATAAAAAGATGCTATGAAAACAGTGGTGGGCTGTTAAGGTCCTGTTCTCTTTTTACATGGATAAGGACATTTTTGTCTGTACAGGAAGAGAATCTTTGCCTTACCCCTTTTTTCCTCAGCTAGAACCCTGAGAGCAAAGAGGGTGCCTAACAAAGATGGCGCCCATTCTCCCTTCCTCATGGCTATCTCCAAGTCGGACAGAGAAGCGGGGCCCTGGGAGCACAGGCCATGGATTCTGCCATTTGGGCTGCAGTTGGAGACTCACATAGAAGGAGTCCCACAAAGAGGAGCCAAGTGGGAAGCCAATCCTGATCCTGAAGAGCTGCGAGGTAAAGTCCACAGTCCTCCTGACAAAGTGTTGGTCTCCTTCACTTTGCCCGTATGGAAAGAGAGCAACATCTGGGCCAGGAGGGAAAAGAGTATGAAGTCAATGTGGGCCTTGGCCTTCTTTCAAACTCAAAGAAAGCCTCACAGGGCTTCCACACATTGTTGTTCGTGCCTGACCTCTGTTCTTCAAGGGGTTCCAGGAGACCCTGACAGACAGACCGTTATCTAGACAGACAGGCAGAGGCCTTCTCACAGGCATTTAACCCAGATCCTCAGTTTCTCCCTCAACTAGAGCTCTCCCCATCCCCCAGTCAGAAGAAAAATAAGTGTTACTGTTTGAATACCAACACGTGATTCTGCCTCTGTGTTAATAACCATAATTCTTTTTAAGGATTAAAGACAAAACTTTAATACTGTGAAGAGTCATATTTTAAAGACCTTTTCATGAAATGGACTTTGTTTCTTAAGATAGTATTCCTCCAAGGAAACTTCAAGACACTCTCCCCCCAGAATTTGTTCTAGGACCCTGCCCTAGGCAACGGTATAGGAAACCCATCCTAAATTTCCCGAGTGGGCGTCCGTCCTGAACAGTGTCCACAGACCCATTGGCGCCCTCATCTGGTCTTGCATGGAATACTGCAGAGCACACTTGAAGGGCTTCTTCAGTAACATCCCTGAAAATTGGTCCACATCAGGCACCATAGTGTGATTCCTACAAAACAAATCTGTGGCCTTGCTGGTTCCCTTACAGGATTCTTGCATACAGGAGCTTTCTCACTACTCTTTACCTTACCTCTAGCAACCCCAAATTCTTTGGGGCTCTGCTTCCATTGCAACTCTAGGACTCAGTTCTCACTCACATGTGTTCCTCCAGCTGCTCAGAGCCTCGTCCGTTCTGGGCAGGGGGTCCCCCACCCTGAACACCTCTTCACTCTTGCCAGGAAGGCTGCTTTAGCCTGTTTCCACATCCTTCATGGGCTTTCCACTGTATGGACCTAGTGTCCTGGGCTCGGACCCACAGGACAACCAATCTGTCCCTTGATGAATGGCACCAGGATCATTTGCCTGCCGGCAGTCAGTGCTGTACACAAAGCCCCTTTTGGATCCCAATTCTGGTGCTCTCTCACTGCCCCCTAAGGGCCTTCTGATCTGAGAGAGCAGAGACTGGAAGAGCAGGCTGGGATTATTATACTCTTCAGAAAGAAATATGAGGTGCAGCTGCATGGGCAGTGATCGGATGGTGCACCAAAGGCTCCCAGAGAATCCTTTCCCCAGCTGCACACAAAGACACTCATTGGCAAATCCAGTCCAGCTGCCACTACCACATTTGCAGGGAAGGGATCCCACCCAGAGGGTGACACTCACCAGGTTCTGGATTGAAAGGACGCAAGCGGGCTGTGGAGTGCAAGACACTGGGTGTGCTGGGTGTGGAAGTGAGAAGGGTTGGTGAGATGGCAAGGAGACGAGAGGTCACTGTGCTCGGGGAGGTCATCATCACAGCTGGACATACAGGGAGAGAAGGCCGGAACAGCTCAGACAGGCAGGGAAGAGCAGGCAGAGATTTAAAGACATCAGGAGCTTGAAAGAACAGCTCAAAACCTTCCGGTCTGTCTGCTGGTCACACCCAGCCAGCTCCCATACACCTGGTTGCTGCTGGGTCCATGGGGGTGAGGGGCTTGTCACTACCACACCCAAATAAATTTAACCTCTGCAAACCTGACCTCAGCCCTGGCCAGCATGGTTGATTTAGGCAGTGATCAAGCACTACTCCAGGAGACTGGAGGCCAAGGCCCCTACATCAGATGGAGACACTGGGTGTCTCCCACCTACCTGAGGTTTCAGCCTTCTCTGTGGAGCCCGAGGATGGCGTGGGTGGTGAGGAAGGGCTGGTAACAGACAGGGCAGAGGTGGGACCTGGGAGGCGGGTGGTGGTGATCCAGATGGAACTTCCTGCAGGGGCAAGGGTGGGCTGGGAAAAGGGAGAATTACTCGTTGAAGTGTGGAGACTTGGTGTGGTCTGATGTGTGCCCATCTTAGCAGAGGAAGGAGAGCCCGAGGAAGAAAAGTCAGTGGATGGCTGCAGAGTAGGATGCTCAGATGGTGAGGAAGCTTCCAGAGTGATCTTGCTTGAAAGTGATGAAGCCAAGGTGGAGTCAAGTGGGCCACCATGACTGCTTGTAGGACCAGAATACGTGGGACCTGTGCTGGGGTGGGAGGCAGATGGTGTGGCCTGAACAGTTTCAGGATACCCATGGGTGGGCGTGGTGGAGAGAAGCACTGAGGAAGTGGAGAGCAGCATAGTGCTTGTCAAGAGCCTGTTGTCAGAGCCTTCGGAGGCAGAGACCCGGGCAGTCTGGTCCTCATGGGCCACTGAGCTCGAGCTTAGCGTCAGAACCTGTCCACTTGTGGGCCCAACCGAGGAAGGAGAATGAGAAGCAACATGGCCCTGGGTAGTGGAATCCACCCCAGATGGCCCATCAGCTACCACTGATGATGAAGCTGGTGCTGTTGTCTGGATCCCATGGCTGCCACTGACTTGAGTTGGAGGAAAGGCTTGAGTGGTACTTGAAGGTGGCCCGATATGGGTGTCAATTCGTGGAGACGTGTGCCCACTTGTGGTGGGTATAGGAGGGAGTGTGCCCACTGAGATGGTTTCAGTCACCTGGGAGTCCAAACTGGTGGCTTCTGATCCTCTGCTGGTCCCGGCACTTTGAGTCTGCACCATCTTGGAAATGACTGCTGTTTCCTGAGGGGAGGTGGTGAGAGAAGTTGGGGTGGATAAATCAGCGGGTCTCCCTGTACTTGAGACATCAGTCATGGCGGGAGCAAAGGTGCTGTGGATGAAAACAGATGTTGCTCTCGTCCCTGGGGTACTGTCAGGATGGGTGGCAGCTGACAACTCAGGTGGTGAATGAGTGAAGGGCGTGGAGGAGGAGCTGGGGAAGGAGGAGGACGTGTCTGGGAGAGCACTCCCCGGCCCGCTTGTGCCCCTGTTTGGGGATGAGGAAGCAGCAGCTGTGTCAGCTGATTTCACTGTGTGAGCTTCTGCAGTGGCAGCCATACTCGGAATCTGCTGGCTGGGGGGAGATGAGGCTGTGTTCTGAGCAGAAGTGCTGGGAGGCACTGTGGACAGTCCCGCAGGTGCAGCTGTCACTGAGGGCCCTGAGGTGATGGGCAGAACACTCTTGGTTACAGGTGGGGCTGTGTCCCCTGTGCTCCCTGGAGCAGAGTCTGTGGAGGCCGTCCTGGTGCCCACTGCTGATGTCACTGAGGGCCTGCTGCTGCTGACACTGGAAGGAGGTGAGGTGGTGGCTTGCAACGGAGAGGACACCTCTGGAGAGGCTGTCCCAGTCAGAGCATTTCCTCTGGGGGAGGACAGAGGAACTGATGAGGTCACTGCTGTTGGGCCCCTGGTCTCGGATTCTCTGGTGGTCTGTGCACTCTTAGCCTGGTGGCTCTGAGGAGACGTAGATGTGTCCGGAGATGAGGTGCTGAGTGGTGGTGCTGCTGACAGTGTGTTTGGTACAGTTGTCATTGAGATTCCTGAGGTGCCTGGAGTGAGACTTGCGGTTACAGGGAGGGACAGGTCCCCTGTGCTTCCTGGAGTGCAACCTGTGGTCGTCATCTCAGGGGAGATCTCTGAGGTTGTTGGAGGTATGGTGCTCACACCAGAGAGTGAGGATGCATTTCCTCCTCCTGTAAAAACGTGTAACAACCAAGTGTGTAAAGCAATGCCATAGTAATATGCTAGTTATAAAAAACACTCAAATCACTAACACCTTAAATATTTCAGTCACACTGATAACTGACTATTGTTATGGATCAATGGATTGTGCAGTGGTAAATTGCTAAATGCAGGGACTTAAGATCACTGGACTAAAAATCATTCATTTAAGTAATTAAATTAACTTAAAAATACTTCAAAAAACAGGTTTCATACAGAGTTCTCTAACCAGCTCCTGCAACTTCAACTGACCACCCACTGCTTACAACTAAAAAACAGAAAAGGGGGAGATGTAGGGAGCCGTGAAAGCTGGAGATCGGTCACACTTGTAGGGCCAAAGCAAGGCCAGCTCTAAAAATAGAGAAAACCCAAAGCAACACACAGAAACAAGCTGTTCCAGATCTAAGAAACAAGTTGCCAGGCAGAAGAATTAAACTTGACATCGTCCTCCTGAGTCCATAAATAAATGTGCCTCAGTGCTTCAAATGTTCATTTTCTCCATCAGGAAGGACTCCTCCACCCAACCTCAGTTTGGGTCTCCTTTATTTCCCCACCCCTCACTCTCCTTTCTCCTGGAAACATCTACAAGTACTCTGGTCTGGTACACAGCAATTAATGATGCCAAAAGTTTGCTTCTGCAAAGATAAAAGGGCAACCTCCTGGCAAGTTTAAGAGAGAAAGAAAATATGAAAATTGGAGGGAAAAAAGGAGGGGAGAAGGAAAGAAAGGAAATGAAGGCAGGAGGAATAAGAAAAGGAAAGGGAAAAGCTAATTAAGAATGAAAGAAGGGATGTCATATAGATGAACTAAGCGATTTCTTTAACATATAAGTGATCAAATATAATGAATAGAAAACTTACAAATAAAATATTTTAAATTTTCAGTGCTTTAAAAAAAAAATCCAGGGGCTGGAGATTTAGCTCAGCGGCGTAAGTGCCTGCCTTGCAAGCAGGCAGTCGTGAGTTCAATCCCTGGTACCGATAAAAAGGAAAAAGACAAAAAAAGAAAAAAAAAAAAAAAAGAATCCATGGAGACCCGGGAGCATGCCTGTAAATCCAGCCCATGGAAACTGGGGCAGGATTATTACTCCAAATTTGAGGTCAAGTAGGCTACATAGTTAGTTCAAGGCCAGCATGGATTCTGAATTACATATTAAAATGCTATTTAAAAATTAGAATAATAAAAAGAATTCAGGGAACAGGACGTGTAGCTCAGTAATAGACAGCATGTTTAGCATGCCACAGGCTGTCTCAGCTTCTACCAGCAACAGCCTAAAAGTATAAAAATATAAAAATATAAAAAAGAGAGACAGAGACAGAAAAAGAATGTCTACCCATCCACCAAAACACGCCTGACTGAGTTCAATTGCTTTTTGGAGGCAAGGTCTTGCTGTGTAGCTCAGGGTGGCCTTGAACTCACTACTGTACATAGGTCTGACTGACTTCAAACTCACAGTGGTCCCCCTGCTACAGCTACCCAGTACTGTGGTTCTGGGGTGCACCACCACATCTAGCTACTTGATTTCAATTTTATATAAACTCTTTGAGGGTGTAATTTTAATATCCAAATCAAAGACAGTATAAGAAGGAAAACTATGGATTAATAAATCTCATAATAATGTAGATGGAAATGTCATAAACAAAACACTTGGCTAGGTAGGGTGGCTCACACCAATAACCCCAGAATTCTGGGAGGTTGAAACAGGAAAATTCCAGTTTCCAGCCCACCCTGGGCAACACAGCAACTGATGAAGAGCCTGCTTCCCACCACTGTAGAAAGGGCTAGGCATGCGGCTCCGTGCAGAGGCCCTGGGTCCAGTCCCCAGGGCTGAAAACCAAAAGGGAGGTAAATCAAATAGGGCTTTGTGTGTGTGTGTGTGTGTGTGTGTGTGTGTGTGTGTGTGTGTGTGAGAGAGAGAGAGAGAGAGAGACAGAGAGAGAGACAGAGAGAGAGACAGAGAGAGAGACAGAGAGAGAGACAGAGAGAGAGACAGAGAGAGAGACAGAGAGAGACAGAGAGAGAGACAGAGAGAGAGAGACTGAGAGAGAGACAGAGAGAGAGACAGAGAGAGAGACAGAGAGAGAGACAGAGAGAGAGACAGAGAGATGGCTAAGCTTAACTGTCAACTTGACAGGGAAGGGAGTTGCCTAGGGGATTAGTAAAGCACACTTCTAGGTGTGTCTTCATGGCTCATGGTGGTGTGACCTCAGCGCCTGCATCTGATCTCTTGCTCCTTAATTTCTGGCACTGCTGTGCTCTGCTATCTGGCTGCCATCACAAGAGCAGCCTTGCATTGCCTCATGATTTTGCCGTGGTATTTCTGCCTTGGAACCAACCAGCTATGGACTGAACCCTGTGAATCCATGATTCAAACAAACCTTCTATCCTTTAAGGTGTGAGTGTCAATGTTTCCATCAGCAATAGAAAGACAGTGTGTTTGTATGTGTACATGTATGCAGGTCCACACATGTGTGCATTTGCCTTTGTGTGTATGTGTATGTGTGTGTGAATGTGTGTGTGAGTGTGTGTGTGTGGTACTGAGGACGTAACCTTGCTAGGCAAGTAATGTACCACAGTGCTCAGTCCTCAGCTGCCAGCATTGACTTTCCTTCCGGGGAGAAGGAAGGTGGAGACAGGGTCTCAGTATAAATTTCAAAGTCGCCTTGAACTCAGTTTGGAGCCCAGGCTGCCCTAGAATTTTCAGCAATCTTTTGGCCTCAGATTCCCAAATGATGAGGGTTGTTTCACCACATTCAGCAGGGCTGCAGTTTTATTAAAGAAGTACATTTGTTTAATTTCAGGACTTTGTGAAAAAAAAAAGAAGTACATTTGATCAAGCTCAGTTGAAAGCAGATATACAAGATATTCAGTAAGTGTATAAATTACTGAATAAAAATTAATGTGAATCATAATATAAAAAGGGTGGAGAGCAAACATGAGCATCTAGAGACAGAGGAAAAATATTTACTACAAGTCAAGAGTAATTCTTGTTAAAAGTTATAATAAGTGACAAAAGAGGTTAACTCACATATTAACAAAATGAGCAAAACTCCCATGATAAACGCAATACCTAAAGATAGAGCACTTGTAAAACTTCCTTAAAATAAAAACAAAGAGATCCAGTTGGCAGCAATCCAGCAATTCAGGAGGCTGATACAGGAGGATCACTGTGAGGTCAAGGCCAGCTAGGGCCCCTACACCAGATGGAGACACTGGGTGTCTCCCACCTACCTGAGGTTTCAGCCTTCTCTGTGGAGCCCGAGGATGGCGTGGGTGGTGAGGAAGGGCTGGTAACAGACAGGGCAGAGGTGGGACCTGGGAGGCGGGTGGTGGTGATCCAGATGGAACTTCCTGCAGGGGCAAGGGTGGGCTGGGAAAAGGGAGAATTACTCGTTGAAGTGTGGAGACTTGGTGTGGTCTGATGTGTGCCCATCTTAGCAGAGGAAGGAGAGCCCGAGGAAGAAAAGTCAGTGGATGGCTGCAGAGTAGGATGCTCAGATGGTGAGGAAGCTTCCAGAGTGATCTTGCTTGAAAGTGATGAAGCCAAGGTGGAGTCAAGTGGGCCACCATGACTGCTTGTAGGACCAGAATACGTGGGACCTGTGCTGGGGTGGGAGGCAGATGGTGTGGCCTGAACAGTTTCAGGATACCCATGGGTGGGCGTGGTGGAGAGAAGCACTGAGGAAGTGGAGAGCAGCATAGTGCTTGTCAAGAGCCTGTTGTCAGAGCCTTCGGAGGCAGAGACCCGGGCAGTCTGGTCCTCATGGGCCACTGAGCTCGAGCTTAGCGTCAGAACCTGTCCACTTGTGGGCCCAACCGAGGAAGGAGAATGAGAAGCAACATGGCCCTGGGTAGTGGAATCCACCCCAGATGGCCCATCAGCTACCACTGATGATGAAGCTGGTGCTGTTGTCTGGATCCCATGGCTGCCACTGACTTGAGTTGGAGGAAAGGCTTGAGTGGTACTTGAAGGTGGCCCGATATGGGTGTCAATTCGTGGAGACGTGTGCCCACTTGTGGTGGGTATAGGAGGGAGTGTGCCCACTGAGATGGTTTCAGTCACCTGGGAGTCCAAACTGGTGGCTTCTGATCCTCTGCTGGTCCCGGCACTTTGAGTCTGCACCATCTTGGAAATGACTGCTGTTTCCTGAGGGGAGGTGGTGAGAGAAGTTGGGGTGGATAAATCAGCGGGTCTCCCTGTACTTGAGACATCAGTCATGGCGGGAGCAAAGGTGCTGTGGATGAAAACAGATGTTGCTCTCGTCCCTGGGGTACTGTCAGGATGGGTGGCAGCTGACAACTCAGGTGGTGAATGAGTGAAGGGCGTGGAGGAGGAGCTGGGGAAGGAGGAGGACGTGTCTGGGAGAGCACTCCCCGGCCCGCTTGTGCCCCTGTTTGGGGATGAGGAAGCAGCAGCTGTGTCAGCTGATTTCACTGTGTGAGCTTCTGCAGTGGCAGCCATACTCGGAGTCTGCTGGCTGGGGGGAGATGAGGCTGTGTTCTGAGCAGAAGTGCTGGGAGGCACTGTGGACAGTCCCGCAGGTGCAGCTGTCACTGAGGGCCCTGAGGTGATGGGCAGAACACTCTTGGTTACAGGTGGGGCTGTGTCCCCTGTGCTCCCTGGAGCAGAGTCTGTGGAGGCCGTCCTGGTGCCCACTGCTGATGTCACTGAGGGCCTGCTGCTGCTGACACTGGAAGGAGGTGAGGTGGTGGCTTGCAACGGAGAGGACACCTCTGGAGAGGCTGTCCCAGTCAGAGCATTTCCTCTGGGGGAGGACAGAGGAACTGATGAGGTCACTGCTGTTGGGCCCCTGGTCTCGGATTCTCTGGTGGTCTGTGCACTCTTAGCCTGGTGGCTCTGAGGAGACGTAGATGTGTCCGGAGATGAGGTGCTGAGTGGTGGTGCTGCTGACAGTGTGTTTGGTACAGTTGTCATTGAGATTCCTGAGGTGCCTGGAGTGAGACTTGCGGTTACAGGGAGGGACAGGTCCCCTGTGCTTCCTGGAGTGCAACCTGTGGTCGTCATCTCAGGGGAGATCTCTGAGGTTGTTGGAGGTATGGTGCTCACACCAGAGAGTGAGGATGCATTTCCTCCTCCTGTAAAAACGTGTAACAACCAAGTGTGTAAAGCAATGCCATAGTAATATGCTAGTTATAAAAAACACTCAAATCACTAACACCTTAAATATTTCAGTCACACTGATAACTGACTATTGTTATGGATCAATGGATTGTGCAGTGGTAAATTGCTAAATGCAGGGACTTAAGATCATTGGACTAAAAATCATTCATTTAAGTAATTAAATTAACTTAAAAATACTTCAAAAAACAGGTTTCATACAGAGTTCTCTAACCAGCTCCTGCAACTTCAACTGACCACCCACTGCTTACAACTAAAAAACAGAAAAGGGGGAGATGTAGGGAGCCGTGAAAGCTGGAGATCGGTCACACTTGTAGGGCCAAAGCAAGGCCAGCTCTAAAAATAGAGAAAACCCAAAGCAACACACAGAAACAAGCTGTTCCAGATCTAAGAAACAAGTTGCCAGGCAGAAGAATTAAACTTGACATCGTCCTCCTGAGTCCATAAATAAATGTGCCTCAGTGCTTCAAATGTTCATTTTCTCCATCAGGAAGGACTCCTCCACCCAACCTCAGTTTGGGTCTCCTTTATTTCCCCACCCCTCACTCTCCTTTCTCCTGGAAACATCTACAAGTACTCTGGTCTGGTACACAGCAATTAATGATGCCAAAAGTTTGCTTCTGCAAAGATAAAAGGGCAACCTCCTGGCAAGTTTAAGAGAGAAAGAAAATATGAAAATTGGAGGGAAAAAAGGAGGGGAGAAGGAAAGAAAGGAAATGAAGGCAGGAGGAATAAGAAAAGGAAAGGGAAAAGCTAATTAAGAATGAAAGAAGGGATGTCATATAGATGAACTAAGCGATTTCTTTAACATATAAGTGATCAAATATAATGAATAGAAAACTTACAAATAAAATATTTTAAATTTTCAGTGCTTTAAAAAAAAAATCCAGGGGCTGGAGATTTAGCTCAGCGGCGTAAGTGCCTGCCTTGCAAGCAGGCAGTCGTGAGTTCAATCCCTGGTACCGATAAAAAGGAAAAAGACAAAAAAAGAAAAAAAAAAAAAAAAGAATCCATGGAGACCCGGGAGCATGCCTGTAAATCCAGCCCATGGAAACTGGGGCAGGATTATTACTCCAAATTTGAGGTCAAGTAGGCTACATAGTTAGTTCAAGGCCAGCATGGATTCTGAATTACATATTAAAATGCTATTTAAAAATTAGAATAATAAAAAGAATTCAGGGAACAGGACGTGTAGCTCAGTAATAGACAGCATGTTTAGCATGCCACAGGCTGTCTCAGCTTCTACCAGCAACAGCCTAAAAGTATAAAAATATAAAAATATAAAAAAGAGAGACAGAGACAGAAAAAGAATGTCTACCCATCCACCAAAACACGCCTGACTGAGTTCAATTGCTTTTTGGAGGCAAGGTCTTGCTGTGTAGCTCAGGGTGGCCTTGAACTCACTACTGTACATAGGTCTGACTGACTTCAAACTCACAGTGGTCCCCCTGCTACAGCTACCCAGTACTGTGGTTCTGGGGTGCACCACCACATCTAGCTACTTGATTTCAATTTTATATAAACTCTTTGAGGGTGTAATTTTAATATCCAAATCAAAGACAGTATAAGAAGGAAAACTATGGATTAATAAATCTCATAATAATGTAGATGGAAATGTCATAAACAAAACACTTGGCTAGGTAGGGTGGCTCACACCAATAACCCCAGAATTCTGGGAGGTTGAAACAGGAAAATTCCAGTTTCCAGCCCACCCTGGGCAACACAGCAACTGATGAAGAGCCTGCTTCCCACCACTGTAGAAAGGGCTAGGCATGCGGCTCCGTGCAGAGGCCCTGGGTCCAGTCCCCAGGGCTGAAAACCAAAAGGGAGGTAAATCAAATAGGGCTTTGTGTGTGTGTGTGTGTGTGTGTGTGTGTGTGTGAGAGAGAGAGAGAGAGAGAGAGACAGAGAGAGAGACAGAGAGAGAGACAGAGAGAGAGACAGAGAGAGAGACAGAGAGAGAGACAGAGAGAGAGACAGAGAGAGACAGAGAGAGACAGAGAGAGAGACAGAGAGAGAGAGACTGAGAGAGAGACAGAGAGAGAGACAGAGAGAGAGACAGAGAGAGAGACAGAGAGATGGCTAAGCTTAACTGTCAACTTGACAGGGAAGGGAGTTGCCTAGGGGATTAGTAAAGCACACTTCTAGGTGTGTCTTCATGGCTCATGGTGGTGTGACCTCAGCGCCTGCATCTGATCTCTTGCTCCTTAATTTCTGGCACTGCTGTGCTCTGCTATCTGGCTGCCATCACAAGAGCAGCCTTGCATTGCCTCATGATTTTGCCGTGGTATTTCTGCCTTGGAACCAACCAGCTATGGACTGAACCCTGTGAATCCATGATTCAAACAAACCTTCTATCCTTTAAGGTGTGAGTGTCAATGTTTCCATCAGCAATAGAAAGACAGTGTGTTTGTATGTGTACATGTATGCAGGTCCACACATGTGTGCATTTGCCTTTGTGTGTATGTGTATGTGTGTGTGAATGTGTGTGTGAGTGTGTGTGTGTGGTACTGAGGACGTAACCTTGCTAGGCAAGTAATGTACCACAGTGCTCAGTCCTCAGCTGCCAGCATTGACTTTCCTTCCGGGGAGAAGGAAGGTGGAGACAGGGTCTCAGTATAAATTTCAAAGTCGCCTTGAACTCAGTTTGGAGCCCAGGCTGCCCTAGAATTTTCAGCAATCTTTTGGCCTCAGATTCCCAAATGATGAGGGTTGTTTCACCACATTCAGCAGGGCTGCAGTTTTATTAAAGAAGTACATTTGTTTAATTTCAGGACTTTGTGAAAAAAAAAAGAAGTACATTTGATCAAGCTCAGTTGAAAGCAGATATACAAGATATTCAGTAAGTGTATAAATTACTGAATAAAAATTAATGTGAATCATAATATAAAAAGGGTGGAGAGCAAACATGAGCATCTAGAGACAGAGGAAAAATATTTACTACAAGTCAAGAGTAATTCTTGTTAAAAGTTATAATAAGTGACAAAAGAGGTTAACTCACATATTAACAAAATGAGCAAAACTCCCATGATAAACGCAATACCTAAAGATAGAGCACTTGTAAAACTTCCTTAAAATAAAAACAAAGAGATCCAGTTGGCAGCAATCCAGCAATTCAGGAGGCTGATACAGGAGGATCACTGTGAGGTCAAGGCCAGCTAGGGCCCCTACACCAGATGGAGACACTGGGTGTCTCCCACCTACCTGAGGTTTCAGCCTTCTCTGTGGAGCCCGAGGATGGCGTGGGTGGTGAGGAAGGGCTGGTAACAGACAGGGCAGAGGTGGGACCTGGGAGGCGGGTGGTGGTGATCCAGATGGAACTTCCTGCAGGGGCAAGGGTGGGCTGGGAAAAGGGAGAATTACTCGTTGAAGTGTGGAGACTTGGTGTGGTCTGATGTGTGCCCATCTTAGCAGAGGAAGGAGAGCCCGAGGAAGAAAAGTCAGTGGATGGCTGCAGAGTAGGATGCTCAGATGGTGAGGAAGCTTCCAGAGTGATCTTGCTTGAAAGTGATGAAGCCAAGGTGGAGTCAAGTGGGCCACCATGACTGCTTGTAGGACCAGAATACGTGGGACCTGTGCTGGGGTGGGAGGCAGATGGTGTGGCCTGAACAGTTTCAGGATACCCATGGGTGGGCGTGGTGGAGAGAAGCACTGAGGAAGTGGAGAGCAGCATAGTGCTTGTCAAGAGCCTGTTGTCAGAGCCTTCGGAGGCAGAGACCCGGGCAGTCTGGTCCTCATGGGCCACTGAGCTCGAGCTTAGCGTCAGAACCTGTCCACTTGTGGGCCCAACCGAGGAAGGAGAATGAGAAGCAACATGGCCCTGGGTAGTGGAATCCACCCCAGATGGCCCATCAGCTACCACTGATGATGAAGCTGGTGCTGTTGTCTGGATCCCATGGCTGCCACTGACTTGAGTTGGAGGAAAGGCTTGAGTGGTACTTGAAGGTGGCCCGATATGGGTGTCAATTCGTGGAGACGTGTGCCCACTTGTGGTGGGTATAGGAGGGAGTGTGCCCACTGAGATGGTTTCAGTCACCTGGGAGTCCAAACTGGTGGCTTCTGATCCTCTGCTGGTCCCGGCACTTTGAGTCTGCACCATCTTGGAAATGACTGCTGTTTCCTGAGGGGAGGTGGTGAGAGAAGTTGGGGTGGATAAATCAGCGGGTCTCCCTGTACTTGAGACATCAGTCATGGCGGGAGCAAAGGTGCTGTGGATGAAAACAGATGTTGCTCTCGTCCCTGGGGTACTGTCAGGATGGGTGGCAGCTGACAACTCAGGTGGTGAATGAGTGAAGGGCGTGGAGGAGGAGCTGGGGAAGGAGGAGGACGTGTCTGGGAGAGCACTCCCCGGCCCGCTTGTGCCCCTGTTTGGGGATGAGGAAGCAGCAGCTGTGTCAGCTGATTTCACTGTGTGAGCTTCTGCAGTGGCAGCCATACTCGGAGTCTGCTGGCTGGGGGGAGATGAGGCTGTGTTCTGAGCAGAAGTGCTGGGAGGCACTGTGGACAGTCCCGCAGGTGCAGCTGTCACTGAGGGCCCTGAGGTGATGGGCAGAACACTCTTGGTTACAGGTGGGGCTGTGTCCCCTGTGCTCCCTGGAGCAGAGTCTGTGGAGGCCGTCCTGGTGCCCACTGCTGATGTCACTGAGGGCCTGCTGCTGCTGACACTGGAAGGAGGTGAGGTGGTGGCTTGCAACGGAGAGGACACCTCTGGAGAGGCTGTCCCAGTCAGAGCATTTCCTCTGGGGGAGGACAGAGGAACTGATGAGGTCACTGCTGTTGGGCCCCTGGTCTCGGATTCTCTGGTGGTCTGTGCACTCTTAGCCTGGTGGCTCTGAGGAGACGTAGATGTGTCCGGAGATGAGGTGCTGAGTGGTGGTGCTGCTGACAGTGTGTTTGGTACAGTTGTCATTGAGATTCCTGAGGTGCCTGGAGTGAGACTTGCGGTTACAGGGAGGGACAGGTCCCCTGTGCTTCCTGGAGTGCAACCTGTGGTCGTCATCTCAGGGGAGATCTCTGAGGTTGTTGGAGGTATGGTGCTCACACCAGAGAGTGAGGATGCATTTCCTCCTCCTGTAAAAACGTGTAACAACCAAGTGTGTAAAGCAATGCCATAGTAATATGCTAGTTATAAAAAACACTCAAATCACTAACACCTTAAATATTTCAGTCACACTGATAACTGACTATTGTTATGGATCAATGGATTGTGCAGTGGTAAATTGCTAAATGCAGGGACTTAAGATCATTGGACTAAAAATCATTCATTTAAGTAATTAAATTAACTTAAAAATACTTCAAAAAACAGGTTTCATACAGAGTTCTCTAACCAGCTCCTGCAACTTCAACTGACCACCCACTGCTTACAACTAAAAAACAGAAAAGGGGGAGATGTAGGGAGCCGTGAAAGCTGGAGATCGGTCACACTTGTAGGGCCAAAGCAAGGCCAGCTCTAAAAATAGAGAAAACCCAAAGCAACACACAGAAACAAGCTGTTCCAGATCTAAGAAACAAGTTGCCAGGCAGAAGAATTAAACTTGACATCGTCCTCCTGAGTCCATAAATAAATGTGCCTCAGTGCTTCAAATGTTCATTTTCTCCATCAGGAAGGACTCCTCCACCCAACCTCAGTTTGGGTCTCCTTTATTTCCCCACCCCTCACTCTCCTTTCTCCTGGAAACATCTACAAGTACTCTGGTCTGGTACACAGCAATTAATGATGCCAAAAGTTTGCTTCTGCAAAGATAAAAGGGCAACCTCCTGGCAAGTTTAAGAGAGAAAGAAAATATGAAAATTGGAGGGAAAAAAGGAGGGGAGAAGGAAAGAAAGGAAATGAAGGCAGGAGGAATAAGAAAAGGAAAGGGAAAAGCTAATTAAGAATGAAAGAAGGGATGTCATATAGATGAACTAAGCGATTTCTTTAACATATAAGTGATCAAATATAATGAATAGAAAACTTACAAATAAAATATTTTAAATTTTCAGTGCTTTAAAAAAAAAATCCAGGGGCTGGAGATTTAGCTCAGCGGCGTAAGTGCCTGCCTTGCAAGCAGGCAGTCGTGAGTTCAATCCCTGGTACCAATAAAAAGGAAAAAGACAAAAAAAGAAAAAAAAAAAAAAAAGAATCCATGGAGACCCGGGAGCATGCCTGTAAATCCAGCCCATGGAAACTGGGGCAGGATTATTACTCCAAATTTGAGGTCAAGTAGGCTACATAGTTAGTTCAAGGCCAGCATGGATTCTGAATTACATATTAAAATGCTATTTAAAAATTAGAATAATAAAAAGAATTCAGGGAACAGGACGTGTAGCTCAGTAATAGACAGCATGTTTAGCATGCCACAGGCTGTCTCAGCTTCTACCAGCAACAGCCTAAAAGTATAAAAATATAAAAATATAAAAAAGAGAGACAGAGACAGAAAAAGAATGTCTACCCATCCACCAAAACACGCCTGACTGAGTTCAATTGCTTTTTGGAGGCAAGGTCTTGCTGTGTAGCTCAGGGTGGCCTTGAACTCACTACTGTACATAGGTCTGACTGACTTCAAACTCACAGTGGTCCCCCTGCTACAGCTACCCAGTACTGTGGTTCTGGGGTGCACCACCACATCTAGCTACTTGATTTCAATTTTATATAAACTCTTTGAGGGTGTAATTTTAATATCCAAATCAAAGACAGTATAAGAAGGAAAACTATGGATTAATAAATCTCATAATAATGTAGATGGAAATGTCATAAACAAAACACTTGGCTAGGTAGGGTGGCTCACACCAATAACCCCAGAATTCTGGGAGGTTGAAACAGGAAAATTCCAGTTTCCAGCCCACCCTGGGCAACACAGCAACTGATGAAGAGCCTGCTTCCCACCACTGTAGAAAGGGCTAGGCATGCGGCTCCGTGCAGAGGCCCTGGGTCCAGTCCCCAGGGCTGAAAACCAAAAGGGAGGTAAATCAAATAGGGCTTTGTGTGTGTGTGTGTGTGTGTGTGTGTGTGTGTGTGTGTGTGAGAGAGAGAGAGAGAGAGAGAGAGAGACAGAGAGAGAGACAGAGAGAGAGACAGAGAGAGAGACAGAGAGACAGAGAGAGACAGAGAGAGACAGAGAGAGACAGAGAGAGACAGAGAGAGAGACAGAGAGAGAGAGACAGAGAGAGAGACAGAGAGAGAGACAGAGAGATGGCTAAGCTTAACTGTCAACTTGACAGGGAAGGGAGTTGCCTAGGGGATTAGTAAAGCACACTTCTAGGTGTGTCTTCATGGCTCATGGTGGTGTGACCTCAGCGCCTGCATCTGATCTCTTGCTCCTTAATTTCTGGCACTGCTGTGCTCTGCTATCTGGCTGCCATCACAAGAGCAGCCTTGCATTGCCTCATGATTTTGCCGTGGTATTTCTGCCTTGGAACCAACCAGCTATGGACTGAACCCTGTGAATCCATGATTCAAACAAACCTTCTATCCTTTAAGGTGTGAGTGTCAATGTTTCCATCAGCAATAGAAAGACAGTGTGTTTGTATGTGTACATGTATGCAGGTCCACACATGTGTGCATTTGCCTTTGTGTGTATATGTATGTGTGTGTGAGTGTGTGTGTGAGTGTGTGTGTGTGGTACTGAGGACGTAACCTTGCTAGGCAAGTAATGTACCACAGTGCTCAGTCCTCAGCTGCCAGCATTGACTTTCCTTCCGGGGAGAAGGAAGGTGGAGACAGGGTCTCAGTATATATTTCAAAGTCGCCTTGAACTCAGTTTGGAGCCCAGGCTGCCCTAGAATTTTCAGCAATCTTTTGGCCTCAGATTCCCAAATGATGAGGGTTGTTTCACCACATTCAGCAGTGCTGCAGTTTTTTTAAAGAAGTACATTTGTTTAATTTCAGGACTTTGTGAAAAAAAAAAGAAGTACATTTGATCAAGCTCAGTTGAAAGCAGATATACAAGATATTCAGTAAGTGTATAAATTACTGAATAAAAATTAATGTGAATCATAATATAAAAAGGGTGGAGAGCAAACATGAGCATCTAGAGACAGAGGAAAAATATTTACTACAAGTCAAGAGTAATTCTTGTTAAAAGTTATAATAAGTGACAAAAGAGGTTAACTCACATATTAACAAAATGAGCAAAACTCCCATGATAAACGCAATACCTAAAGATAGAGCACTTGTAAAACTTCCTTAAAATAAAAACAAAGAGATCCAGTTGGCAGCAATCCAGCAATTCAGGAGGCTGATACAGGAGGATCACTGTGAGGTCAAGGCCAGCTAGGGCCCCTACACCAGATGGAGACACTGGGTGTCTCCCACCTACCTGAGGTTTCAGCCTTCTCTGTGGAGCCCGAGGATGGCGTGGGTGGTGAGGAAGGGCTGGTAACAGACAGGGCAGAGGTGGGACCTGGGAGGCGGGTGGTGGTGATCCAGATGGAACTTCCTGCAGGGGCAAGGGTGGGCTGGGAAAAGGGAGAATTACTCGTTGAAGTGTGGAGACTTGGTGTGGTCTGATGTGTGCCCATCTTAGCAGAGGAAGGAGAGCCCGAGGAAGAAAAGTCAGTGGATGGCTGCAGAGTAGGATGCTCAGATGGTGAGGAAGCTTCCAGAGTGATCTTGCTTGAAAGTGATGAAGCCAAGGTGGAGTCAAGTGGGCCACCATGACTGCTTGTAGGACCAGAATACGTGGGACCTGTGCTGGGGTGGGAGGCAGATGGTGTGGCCTGAACAGTTTCAGGATACCCATGGGTGGGCGTGGTGGAGAGAAGCACTGAGGAAGTGGAGAGCAGCATAGTGCTTGTCAAGAGCCTGTTGTCAGAGCCTTCGGAGGCAGAGACCCGGGCAGTCTGGTCCTCATGGGCCACTGAGCTCGAGCTTAGCGTCAGAACCTGTCCACTTGTGGGCCCAACCGAGGAAGGAGAATGAGAAGCAACATGGCCCTGGGTAGTGGAATCCACCCCAGATGGCCCATCAGCTACCACTGATGATGAAGCTGGTGCTGTTGTCTGGATCCCATGGCTGCCACTGACTTGAGTTGGAGGAAAGGCTTGAGTGGTACTTGAAGGTGGCCCGATATGGGTGTCAATTCGTGGAGACGTGTGCCCACTTGTGGTGGGTATAGGAGGGAGTGTGCCCACTGAGATGGTTTCAGTCACCTGGGAGTCCAAACTGGTGGCTTCTGATCCTCTGCTGGTCCCGGCACTTTGAGTCTGCACCATCTTGGAAATGACTGCTGTTTCCTGAGGGGAGGTGGTGAGAGAAGTTGGGGTGGATAAATCAGCGGGTCTCCCTGTACTTGAGACATCAGTCATGGCGGGAGCAAAGGTGCTGTGGATGAAAACAGATGTTGCTCTCGTCCCTGGGGTACTGTCAGGATGGGTGGCAGCTGACAACTCAGGTGGTGAATGAGTGAAGGGCGTGGAGGAGGAGCTGGGGAAGGAGGAGGACGTGTCTGGGAGAGCACTCCCTGGCCCGCTTGTGCCCCTGTTTGGGGATGAGGAAGCAGCAGCTGTGTCAGCTGATTTCACTGTGTGAGCTTCTGCAGTGGCAGCCATACTCGGAGTCTGCTGGCTGGGGGGAGATGAGGCTGTGTTCTGAGCAGAAGTGCTGGGAGGCACTGTGGACAGTCCCGCAGGTGCAGCTGTCACTGAGGGCCCTGAGGTGATGGGCAGAACACTCTTGGTTACAGGTGGGGCTGTGTCCCCTGTGCTCCCTGGAGCAGAGTCTGTGGAGGCCGTCCTGGTGCCCACTGCTGATGTCACTGAGGGCCTGCTGCTGCTGACACTGGAAGGAGGTGAGGTGGTGGCTTGCAACGGAGAGGACACCTCTGGAGAGGCTGTCCCAGTCAGAGCATTTCCTCTGGGGGAGGACAGAGGAACTGATGAGGTCACTGCTGTTGGGCCCCTGGTCTCGGATTCTCTGGTGGTCTGTGCACTCTTAGCCTGGTGGCTCTGAGGAGACGTAGATGTGTCCGGAGATGAGGTGCTGAGTGGTGGTGCTGCTGACAGTGTGTTTGGTACAGTTGTCATTGAGATTCCTGAGGTGCCTGGAGTGAGACTTGCGGTTACAGGGAGGGACAGGTCCCCTGTGCTTCCTGGAGTGCAACCTGTGGTCGTCATCTCAGGGGAGATCTCTGAGGTTGTTGGAGGTATGGTGCTCACACCAGAGAGTGAGGATGCATTTCCTCCTCCTGTAGTGTGTCCTTGGGACAACAGAGAATGGCACGTTGTCGCTATTGTGTTATTTCCTTTAAACAGAAGATAAGGGCTTTATGAGACACAGAGCATAGCTCAGTCGAGTCCAAAGCTTGACAGGAGTATTGTGCACTTGCAGCCCCCCATATTGGTTTCCTAGAATTCTCTTTCCAAAATGGCTATGGTCTTAGCAGGTCTCAGGTACTAAGCACAGCGTGGGACTGACCACATAGCACACACCTACTGATGAACAAGCCACAGCAGACAGCTGTGGCTGCCTTTTGCTTCCCCCCCCCCATGCTGTGCTGCAATAGTGACTTGGGAAAGACAGCAGGCCCCCTGTTTCTCCATTTGAAGCGTGAAAGCCAAGATCTGCGTCCGTCTGTCTTACTACACTATTACCTACACACACACACAGATCATCTGCTCAAAGCACTTCAATTACTCTCTCTCCTATGCACATGATTTTCAAATACTGCCAAGGAGATGAGTACCCTGCTTCTCTTTCTTATCCTGCTTTTCTTCTCCAGTATTTTCCTTAGTTCTATCAGTTTCTGTCTCATTTTTTTCACCCTGTCCCTAAAGTCTCTCCCCCAGGAAGAACTTCATGGTCCTCTCTCCTTACTCATCTCTCAAGGACCCATCTGAGAAGCCTGGGGACCTGGCCAGTGAAAGGATATTAATAACAAAGCAGAGACAGCAAAATATAGTGCATGTGGACCATCGTGTGCTGCATAAGGGACACTGCTGTCAGCGGTGGGCTCGCGAGACCATCTCTTCTATCGAGCATGTGGAGATCTTCGCATATGTACTCTGTGACATTTGTACTATGATTTTACTGCATCATGAGGAGTCTCAGATTCTGCCCCACCATTCCACGACATACGCCTGTGTGTGAACACTCTCCTGGCCTGAACATGGTGCTTTGGCACTTGCTAAAGTGCTTCCTTTATTCTGTCAAAAGTAGTTGAGTGAGATCCCAGTGATGTGGGAAAACCTAGGAGACTCAAGTGAAAGTGATGCTCTTTCTTCCTGGGGACACCAGGAGGCCTTTCTGGGAGTGGGGTGCACACGGGCTCCTGCCTTATCTCCAGGCTCACCACCTCTAGGATAATCACTCATTTCATGTTGGTTTCCCATGGTGGGCACTATTGTTGCCACAGTGTCAGCTGCTAGTCAGTTCCTGGTCCTACAACCTAGAAGTTCCCTTCCTCTGTCACTGAGGCCAGCCTGAGCAATATAACAAGAGCTTGTGTAAAACAACAATAAAAAGATGTAAGGGAGCCACAGTTCTGAAGAAAGGAGCAGAGTTAAGTAATCGAGAAAATGCATTCTCTTGACACTTATGTAATAGTATACAGTGTTCTCCTAAGAAAGTATTGACCATCTTACAAAAGCATAAATGACTTGCATGGGCTTAATTATAATGCAGGTGGTGTGATCACGTACAAGAGAGCATGGCCTTCTATTTAAAGGAAGCACATAAAAAAGGTTGGGTACCAGATAAAATCCCTGAATTAAATAGAAAATGATAGAAATTCTCACAGGACGCAGAGGAAAAGGGCAAAGAAATTAAAACGAGAAAAGGAGAGATACATAGAGGGCCTCTCCTAGAGAAAGAATCGATACATAGTAAGAATACCTGAAACAGAGGATAAAGCCAATGAAGCTGAAATCATAATAATGGAACTAATTGAAGGAGACTTTTTAGAATTGACAAATGAATAAGCACCCGACCACTTTCCTGGGAACCTAGGTCAGGAGAAACTCAGGCCCATTCCCCTACACTGCAGACCAGCAGCCAACACAGGAAGTACCTAATACCCTACAACTGGCTCATCTTGTGGAACCCAAGAAAACGTCAAGGCGAAGGAGCAGAAGACAATCTCAGATCTCCAGACCATACAGAGCAAATCTGGGAGCGTAGACATGGAAGAAATAGGAAGTTGCACACCTGCAATTTCTGAAAGGATAGCAACTGAAGCAAAGAAAGAACTTCATAAGGATGTAAAAGTGTTCAAAAAAGAGATAATAACAGGTAAAAGAAGAAATGACAAACATAATGAAAGAATTGCTGACATAGATTTTAAAAAGAGGAGCATAGGAAAATGATGGAAACCTTGAATGAACAATAAAGGAAGGAATTACAATGCATGAGACAGAGTCAAAGAGACATCCAGGAAACTAAAATCCCCATTGAAAGCTAGCAAAACCTCCTGAAAGAAACTGAAGATAGACTTTTAGAACTTGAAGACAGGATGGAAGCTATCAATTGGAAAAGGAAAGATCTCTTAAAAAGAATAAGGGCAGCAAGGGATTTAGCTTCGCGGCACAAGTGCCTGCCTGGCAGGAATGAGGTCATGAGTTCAATCCCTGGTTCCAAAAAATTAAAATAAAAATAACAAGGAACCAGGAAATAACAATTCAACACCTGTAGGCTGATGCCAAGAAACATAATTTAAGAGTGATAGGCTTCCAGGAGAACATGGCGGACAGATAACAGCAACTAGGGAGGTTCTCTGAAAGACTCGGCTCAGAAGTCAGGAAGGGTGCAGAGTAAGGAGACATAAGCTGGTGGAGATATGCTCTGCTGACTCAGGAACGAACTGGGCTGAGAGAAACCAACTTGGAATGCAGTCCTGGTGCTAGAACAGGAACAGAAAAGCCTCAGTGTGGAGGCTGGAGCCCGCGCCATTGGAAGCCGCGATTTGGGTTTCCCGCCACGCGGCGGCTGCCTCTACATCGGCTCGGCAGGGAGACAGACGCACGGAAGCTCTGAGAATGGGAATCTGCGAACGGAGTCGAAAACAGGACGGGCAGGGAGGCATGCACTGACTTGTGGTGAGGTGAGTGAGAGAAACTGACACTCTACCACAGTTTGACTCCAGCGGAGGACATTCTGGGCCCAGGCAGTCCTGCGGGAGCAGGGCGCGGTGGCGACTTCAGCCACACATCCCCCTCTCGGGTGGGATTGGTGAAAAGTGCCTAGCCTACGTGACACTGCTGGCGGACCCAGTAGGCTAGCCCAACCCAGATCCCAGAGCCTGACGGTGGCCTGGAGGGGCGGCCCCGCGTAGGCTGCCTGGTCTGGAACTTCCTGGTGTGCTGCGGTGGGCGGGAACACCTAACCGGCGCAATTCGATCAGGCTGTGGCTGACAGGGAGAGAAGCTGGGCCTCCTATATAAGCTTGCATATATAAGGAACAGAGAATATGGGAAGAGGCAGCAACAAGAAAGGCTCCTCGGGCCCCAATCCTGAGAAACAGGTTAATAGCGGACACCGCACCAATAGACATAAAGCGCCATCTAGAGAGCCTCATAGATCAGTTCAGGAATGAAGTTATCAATGACCTGAAGCTAGAAGTATGCAGAATAGTTAGAGAAATGCTAAGCACCACCCAGGAAAAAACAGATGGTGGAATGGAAGAACAGAAAAAGAGGGGAGAATTGTTTGATGGAGAAAACAGAGAAAGCATAGAATACGTGAAGCAGGTTCAAAGGGACTACCAAGAAACTAAGAAGTCTATCGAAGACTGGCATAACAGCTTGAAAGAAACTAAGGACAGACTATCTGAACTGGAGGGAAGACTTATAATATGGGAGAATGAAATGAAAAACTTCTTAAAAATAAAAAAGAAACAAACAGCAATAATACAAAGACAAGAAGATGATAAGAGGATCCATAACTTAAGGATTAAGAACATAAAAGAAGAAGTAGGGACATAAACAAATGAACTACAAAAGCTACTCACAGAAATAATCCAGGAGAATTTTCCTAATTTAGCAAAAGGTAAAGACACTCAGATGTATGAGGCATACAGGACCCCAGCTACCTACAACCCAAACAGAGCAACACCCAGGCATATAATAATAAAAATTCCAGAAATTCAATACAAGAACAGAATATTAAAAGCTGTCAGAGACAAGAAACAGATCACTTACAAGGGAACACCCATCCGAATTACAGCAGATTTCTCTGCACAAACCATCAAATCACGAAGAGCGTGGGGGGAAATAATTCAAGCTTTGAAAGATAATAATCTCCAGCCAAGATTGAGATATCCTGCACAACTGTCCCTGGAAATTGATGGAAAAACAAGGTGCTTCCAGGATAAAGAGGAACTGGGGGAATTTGCAACCACCAATTCAATTCTACAGAGAGTATTGCAGGATATTCTAAAAAAAGAAAAATACAAAGAATCCAGAAATAGTGGCGGGGAGGCCACAATGAATGGAGCAGAGAACAAAATGAAGAAGACAAACTGACAGCTACTGACAGAAAAAGAGCTCAACAGAAATGAAGCAGAGAAGATTGGATGATAGGAACAGCTATTTTGGAGAAAATGACATCTTAATAGGTAATACTGATTTAGTATCATCTTGTTTTGAAGTCTCATCAAGCTTTTGTTCTTCTGTCTCCATTGGTCTAAATAGGTTGCATCTTATTGGATTTTATTATGTACGATAGTATAAGCAAAAACCTTTTAAAGACAAGGAGATTATACAGAAACCATTGTTCATTTTCTGTTAGTCGATTCTAAATACCCTGTAATGCTGTCATTCTCTTAAATGGTTTTACACTGTTTTGATATATTTAATGCTACAGTATACGAAGTTGTACTCAAGGATTTCAAGGAAAGAGACAATATGGTAACTACTTTTATGTCAGGATTATCTCGTGGTGAAACACTATTCTGCTTAAATGGTTATGTTTTGATCTGCGCTGTTTTGCTGTTATGCCCTCTTTTATCTCAATCTCCACTCCATTATTTACTTTTTTATTTTTATACTTTTAATTAAGGGAAAAATAAATAAAAATAGCAGGATATATTATAGTAACCCACTCTGACTTTCCATTATCTCGATTTAAAGCCCTGTATTACTCTCACCATCTTGTTTTTGACTGATGTTCCCCTATTCTGTTTTGCTGGATAGTATCAGGTTCGAAAGTTTAGGCAACAGCTGTGAAGATAATGAGATTCATTATGACGCCCATTCTCGTTGACTTTTATCTACTTTTGAAGACCTACAATGTCTCCAATGTTTTGGTGTT